GCCCCATTCATTCTTTCCTTTACACGGATCAGTCGTCCTGGTCCCTTTGCAGAAAAACAGCCCCAAAGCATGATGTTTCCACCACCATGCTTCACAGTAGGTATGGTGTTCTTTGGATGCAACTCAGCATTCTTTGTCCTCCAAACACGACGAGTTGAGTTTTTACCAAAAAGTTATATTTTGGTTTCATCTGACCATATGACATTCTCCCAATCCTCTTCTGGATCATCCAAATGCACTCTAGCAAACTTCAGACGGGCCTGGACATGTACTGGCTTAAGCAGGGGGACACATCTGGCATTGCAGGATTTGAGTCCCTGGCGGCGTAGTGTGTTACTGATGGTAGGCTTTGTTACTTTGGTCCCAGCTCTCTGCAGGTCATTCACTAGGTCCCCCCGTGTGGTTCTGGGATTTTTGCTCACCGTTCTTGTGATCATTTTGACCCCACGGGGTGAGATCTTGCGTGGAGCCCCAGATCGAGGGAGACTATCAGTGGTCTTGTATGTCTTCCATTTCCTAATAATTGCTCCCACAGTTGATTTCTTCAAACCAAGCTGCTTACCTATTGCAGATTCAGTCTTCCCAGCCTGGTGCAGGTCTACAATTTTGTTTCTGGTGTCCTTTGACAGCTCTTTGGTCTTGGCCATAGTGGAGTTTGGAGTGTGACTGTTTGAGGTTGTGGACAGGTGTCTTTTATACTGATAACAAGTTCAAACAGGTGCCATTAATACAGGTAACGAGTGGAGGACAGAGGAGCCTCTTAAAGAAGTTACAGGTCTGTGAGAGCCAGAAATCTTGCTTGTTTGTAGGTGACCAAATACTTATTTTCCACCATAATTTGCAAATAAATTCATTAAAAATCCTACAATGTGATTTTCTGGAAAAAATATTCTCATTTTGTCTGTCATAGTTGACGTGTACCTATGATGAAAATTACAGGCCTCTCTCATCTTTTTAAGTGGGAGAACTTGCACAATTGGTGGCTGACTAAATACTTTTTTCCCCCACTGTAGGTACCCTTGGACATGCAGGCATCTTATGGAACATGACAGCTCTGCACTCTTTTCGTTTATCTATAAGGAGGAATCATCCATCTTCCACAGGAGAGCACCGCAGGTAGTGTGCCGTGCATCTGGCTCTCATCGCAGAGGGAAACCACAGCAGTCAAATCAACAGATAATCTCTACTCTTCCTGTCAGCACAGGGTGGGGGGGAAATAACAACCTCTCCTCTACCTAGGACAATAGAGTACAACCAGGGAGAGGGAGGGGGGGACGCACATTCTTTTTTTTCTGTAAGATTTTATTTTCATACAATACAAAACATACAAACGCACACAAACATCAACGACATCACACCTGCCCAGACCCACCTGCTCACCCACCCCCCATCTCCAGCTCCCGCATCACTCTCTGCCACATGGTCTCAAACTGCACCATTTTGTTTCTGTCCGTGGCACTTTCAACATTTAGATATTAAAGCATTTGACCTTTCCATTGTGTTAATGGAGGATTGGTTGATTTCCAGTTAAGAATATGCTTTCTCAAGATGATTGACGATAAAAGTATCATCCAACCCATCAGGTATCATACTGCATCCTCATATGCCATGTCTTGAAATGTGCAGACAGATGGATTAATAGTACATTTACATTGTAATACATTGAAAGCACATTCCAATAGCAGTATGAAGTCAAAGGAAAGGGTATGATTGAACCCCCCCAACTATGCACACACACTACTGTATTATATGGTGTTCCCATGCTATTGGAAGCATATACAGTGGGGAGAACAAGTATTTGATACACTGCCGATTTTGCAGGTTTTCCTACTTACAAAGCATGTAGAGGTCTGTAATTTTTATCATAGGTACACTTCAACTGTGAGAGACGGAATCTAAAACAAAAATCCAGAAAATCACATTGTATGATTTTTAAGTAATTAATTTGCATTTTATTGCATGACATAAGTATTTGTCAGAAAAGCAGAACTTAATATTTGGTACAGAAACCTTTGTTTGCAATTACAGAGATCATACGTTTCCTGTAGGTCTTGACCAGGTTTGCACACACTGCAGCAGGGATTTTGGCCCACTCCTCCATACAGACCTTCTCCAGATCCTTCAGGTTTCGGGGCTGTCGCTGGGCAATACGGACTTTCAGCTCCCTCCAAAGATGTTCTATTGGGTTCAGGTCTGGAGACTGGCTAGGCCACTCCAGGACCTTGAGATGCTTCTTACGAAGCCAATCCTTAGTTGCCCTGGCTGTGTGTTTCGGGTCGTTGTCATGCTGGAAGACCCAGCCACGACCCATCTTCAATGCTCTTACTGAGGGAAGGAGGTTGTTGGCCAAGATCTCGCAATACTTGGCCCCATCCATCCTCCCCTCAATACGGTGCAGTCATCCTGTCCCCTTTGAAGAAAAGCATCCCCAAAGAATGATGTTTCCACCCCCATGCTTCACGGTTGGGATGGTGTTCTTGGGGTTGTACTCATCCTTCTTCTTCCTCCAAACACGGCGAGTGGAGTTTAGACCAAAAAGCTCTATTTTTGTCTCATCAGACCACATGACCTTCTCCCATTCCTCCTCTGGATCATCCAGATGGTCATTGGCAAACTTCAGACGGGCCTGGACATGCGCTGGCTTGAGCAGGGGGACCTTGCGTGCGCTGCAGGATTTTAATCCATGACGGCGTAGTGTGTTGCTAATGGTTTTCTTTGAGACTGTGGTCCCAGCTCTCTTCAGGTCATTGACCAGCTCCTGCCGTGTAGTTCTGGGCTGATCCCTCACCTTCCTCATGATCATTGATGCCCCACGAGGTGAGATCTTGCATGGAGCCCCAGACCGAGGGTGATTGACCGTCATCTTGAACTTCTTCCATTTTCTAATAATTGCGCCAACAGTTGTTGCCTTCTCACCAAGCTGCTTGCCTATTGTCCTGTAGCCCATCCCAGCCTCGTGCAGGTCTACAATTTTATCCCTGATGTCCTTACACAGCTCTCTGGTCTTGGCCATTGTGGAGAGGTTGGAGTCTGTTTGATTGAGTGTGTGGACAGGTGTCTTTTATACAGGTAATGAGTTCAAACAGGTGCAGTTAATACAGGTAATGAGTGGAGAACAGGAGGGCTTCTTAAAGAAAAACTAACAGGTCTGTGAGAGCCGGAATTCTTACTGGTTGGTAGGTGATCAAATACTTATGTCATGCAATAAAATGCAAATTAATTACTTAAAAATCATACAATGTGATTTTCTGGATTTTTGTTTTAGATTCCATCTCTCACAGTTGAAGTGTACCTATGATAAAAATTACAGACCTCTACATGCTTTGTAAGTAGGAAAACCTGCAAAATCGGCAGTGTATGAAATACTTGTTCTCCCCACTGTAGTAATGGGTTTCTGTGTGTATGTAGAGGTCAGGAGAGGGATGTGGGATACACCCTACTACTGTAAGCCTAGTGGAGGTGAAGCTACAGCATTGGGAGGGAAGCCGTTGCTTTGGGCCAGCTGCCACTGAAGACAATGGACCCTGAGAGAAATGGGGCTTCCTTGAATTGTGCACCACTTCCACAGAGTGGATGAAACACAACAAAGTTACACTGAGCCTTTTTTCCAGGAGAGGGGGGGGGGGGGGGGGGGGGGGGTTTGTGTCGGAGTTCCCTGTTCCACCTGTGTGAAGTATTGTAGCTGCCACATTAGCCTGCTAGCGACACTGGTCCCTGAGGGGGATTGGGTGTGCCAGGTAGATATGTTAGCAAGTGAAACACACGCACACGAGAACACACACGCAAAACGCATAGTGTTCAAAGTGGTGTGTCGTTAACGCCTCTGGTAGTGTTGACTGTTAAAGGTCCCGTCTACCAGTATGAACGAAGCGGGAGACTAATCATTGCAAAAAAAACTTTATTAGGTTGTTAAGAGTGTGAGGAGAAAATATAAAGTGCTTTACATTGAGCAAGAGAAAAAAGGAAAGCAAATGGTACTTATTGTGAAGACTGCGAGGGAAACAGACTGCAGGAAGGAGAGAAGGCAGTAGATAAGTTGACACCACAGTAGAGACAACTACTTGATGATTTCTGATCATTTCATTGGTCCTCAAGAGTCATTCATCATCGTTTTAAGATGTTCTGTAGATATGACATCACCTGCCTTCACATTTCAGTGATGTTGTCCTTAATAGTGTCACTTGTGAAAACCTGCGTTCACAAGGGTTCTCCAGGACTGTGTTGGAGAGAATCAGTCGGTCACATGGCATAGTCAGGTAGTTATACGCCTGTTACAACACTGAAAGGCTGCTTCTAGTAGAACAGAAATACTGCCCATAAAGTATCACGTATTGCAATACTATTACGATTATACTGATATTGTTACTTAACAGTTCAGTATTCAGTAGTAACTTCTAGAGAGACAGCAGCAGGCTATGAGAACAACCCAAGGAAGGCCACTGTTCTTGTCTATTAATGTTCTGTACTATGTCATGTTTCGTGTTTTGTGTATTAGGATCCCCATTAGCAACAGCTAATGGGGATCCTAATACAATTCCCCCCAAAATCCTTGGGAGTAGACAGAGTAGAGAATAATTCATAGCTGCTTTAAACTCAGATGAAGAAAAGTGTTCTGAAACAAAACTCCAACCAAATTAATCTCAGTAAAGAAAGAGGAAGTCGAAAAAAACAGTGCATATGAAGTGAGAGAGACAGGAGATGTTGAGAAGGATATCTATCTTGTTAAAAGAAGACTCAATAGATTTAAGGCATTTTCCCCATCCCATCAGGAACTTGGAAACTGAACATCATTGGTTAGGCTCTTGTGGTCAAGGCTGATGAATAATTCCACTGTAAGACTTTTGTTTGTATTCTAGACCAGGCTTGGTTCAAATTACGATTGTGGTTGTGAGCCCGGAGAAGGTTGAGCTGCTATGCGGTACACTGCGGTCATGGTCTTCTCTGGGTCATGGTCTACTCTGGGTCATGGTCTACTCTGGGTCATGGTCTACTCTGGGTCATGGTCTACTCTGGGTCATGGTCTTCTCTAGGTCATGGTCTTCTTCTTGCACTCGACAGAGCAGAAGAGCATGCCCTGTATGGCCATGAAGCGCTCTCCAATGAGACACTTAGCACAGCAGGAGCACTGGAAGCACTGGGGCTCAGCGTGCCAGTGGAAATCCCCGTAGGACACACGCTGGGCCTCGGGCTCCACTGGGTTCTGACAGGCCGTACACACCTGGAGAGAGGGGGGATGTTTGTTTAATCACACGTATACAATACACATTGTACATTAAATACAGTGTCACACACACGTACAAATACATGCACACACACTCTCCCTCTCTGTCCTTACCGCGGCGTGGCTCTTCATGTAGCAGGGCTTGCAGACAGGCTTGTTGTTCTCCATAACGTAGGTCTCTCCAGCCAGAACACAGTCACAGTCAAAGCAGCAGAAGTGCTTCAGATGCCAGTTCTGGTCCTCGGCCTGCGTGTACTCATTACTGAAGATCAGCTGCAGACACACACACACACACACACACACACCAGGTTAACATGGGAGGTAGAATTGGGAAATGATTATTTTTGTTTTCCACTCATATTTAAAAAGATACTCCAGCTCTGACATTCTTGCTCCACAATGTGTTTAATGGATCTCATCACAGCCCCCGCAGCGTGGCTTCTCACTGTCTCCGTAGTGGCGTCCGCGGTACAGCTGTCCCTTCTTCGCTCACCTCTGACCTCTCTCCTCCTGCCTGCCCCTCCTTCCCAACCCCTCACCTCGTCACAGCCCCCGCAGCGTGGCTTCTCACTGTCTCCGTAGTGGCGCCCGCAGTACAGCTGTCCCTTCTTCCAGAAGTAGATCATGTCCACCAGGAGCTCTGAGCAGGTACAGCACACGAAGCAGGCTGGGTGCCACAGCTTGTCGTAGCCAGCACGCTCTGCGTACACCGCAGGCTCACCCTGACGCATGGGCAGCTGGCACTGGTGGCACGACTGGAGGAGGGGAATGTGGACAGAAGGAGAAGGGGGGAAGGAGAGAGTGGGTAGGAGGGAGGAGATGAGATGGAGAAATACACCAGAAAATACCTTTGTTAGCAATGCCCTCACTAAAACAATGGCCCTGTAGCACAGCCTCATCCTGTTCTTTTATGCCATTATAAACTTAAATCATAATCATCATTTTGCAGTTTAAGACACTGCCTGACAGCTCCCATAAATCCAAATGTTCATTCAGTTGGAATAAATAACTGCATATGGGGAGACACGGTAGAAAGACAGACAGGCAGTCTGTAGGGGTTTGCATGAGCCAAAACTCTGTTTAGATGGAAACATTTTTCAGTCACGCTTCAAAACCATACTACACAAATCATTATGCAAAGCTATTCAAAATGATTCACTCATATTTTCACTTCTGGCTCCATCTTGTGGCCAGTTGAATGTCTGTCCTCATTCTACACTTGTCAACAGTATTCTCTGCTGAGAATATCATTTCACCTAAAATGTGACTGTTCTACATTTCAACTCCAGCATATTTTCCTTGAATATATGGACATTGAACGAGAGCGAACACAGAGAGAAAGAAAGAGAGATAGAGACTGCATCCATGACAATAAACAATATGAAAAGCTTGGTTCTAGCAGCAGTGACTGGGACAGATGCTTCATATTAAAGTTAGTTGAAGTATAGTTTAACAGACAACACACACTTCATGAGATGAAGTGGTCCCCACCCTACAGCTAAGGCTTCTCGGAGAGAATCGCTCCCTTGTTCAGTCATTCTCTAGTCTCTCTAATCTAATCGTAGCTCCACAAAGCCGCCTGTGTCTGAAGTGAGTCTGACAGTGGAACAGTCTCACAGTGCAGTCCATTCCCACTCTTTGATTTGGTCCCCTCCCTGTATTCTCTCTCACTCCCCCAGATTTAAAAGCATTAGATGGGTGAAAACAATATGGTAGAAATTCCCTAACCATTCAAAAGGCTATGGGGGGGGGGTCATATGCATGATGAGGAGAAAGGGCATAGGAAAGAGACCAAATCAGGGAACCAGAATGCACCAACTGACTAATCAAAAGGCTATCTATCTATCTATCTATCTCTCTCTCTTTAATATCCATGATGAAGGAAGTGAGAAAGGACATAGGAAGGTAGGATAATGTTTACGTCACTTTAATAATGTTTACATATCTTGCACTACTCATCTCATATGTATATACTGTATTCTATTCTATAATATTCTACTGTATCTTAGTCCATGCCGTTCTGTCATTGCTTGTCCATATATGTATATATTCTTAAATCCCATTCCTTACTAGTTTTGTGTGTATTGGGTATATGTTGTGATATTGTTAGATAATACTGCACTGTCGGAGCTAGAAGCATAAGCATTTCGCTACACCCGCTATAACATCTACTAAACACGTGTATGTGACAAATAAAATATGATTTGAGGAAGGAGGGGGACCAAATCTGAGGATAACAATCCACTGTCAGTCGGTCACATTCTCGCTCTCTCTTCGATCTGAGGGTATACTTACGTAGTGTCCACAGGGTCCAGCCAGGTGACCTCCAGGGGCTCCCGGAGTACCCATGGCCCCAGCGGTGGCAGCAGTGCCCATGTCTCCTGGTCCACCTTCTCCTGCCCCAGGGTATCCTCCAGTCCCCATCCCAGGCTGAACCTGTCCCGCTTGTCCGAGTACACCTCCAGACACAGGCCTTGTCTGATGACCAGGACCTGCAGGCCCAAAGGCTCCCCCAGCCCCAACTCCAGGCCCAACTCCAGGCCCAAAGGCTCCCCCAGCCCCAACTCCAGGCCCAAAGGCTCCCCCAGCCCCAACTCCAGGCCCAAAGGCTCCCCCAGCCCCAACTCCAGGCCCAAAGGCTCCCCCAGCCCCAACTCCAGGCCCAACTCCAGGCCCAAAGGCTCCCCCAGCCCCAACTGCAGCCCCAACTCCAGGCCCAAAGGCTCCCCCAGCCCCAACTCCAGGCCCAAAGGCTCCCCCAGCCACAACTCCAGGCCCAGCTGGAAGCCCAGGGGCTCCCATCCCATGTCCTCCCATGCCTGGTGCTCCCTGTCCTGGTCCTCCCTCCTGACCCGGAGCCTGTCCCATCATCATCTCCTCAGGCAGCTTGATGTCTCCCACTCCCAGGGCCTCATCTTTGTACTTGCGGACAAACTGCTGCATCTGTTTGACCTCTGCAGGGGTCAGCTCGTGGCACTTGGCCGGATCCTGGTCGTGCTCCGGTAGCTGCACTGCCATCTGTTGCCGGCGGTAGGCCGCACCCTCCGTTCCCGCTATGGGACGCCTCTCTGGGGGCAGGAGCTCGATGTAGCGTACCGCCTAACGGTCAAGTGGAGAGCAGAGGAGAGAGAGTGTTAGGACTTTGTTAAGAAAGAGAGAGAGAGAGAGAGAGAGATAGGAGAGGAGAGAGATGAGAGAGGAGATGAGAGGAGAGCTTCTAGACGAGAGTACTCGGCATCCGCTATGCCGTACTACGATGTCGACTCTCCCTGCGTCGTATGCTAGGATGCGTCTGGACGCACTTGCCCAAGGAGATATACAGACAGGTGCATAGCAGCGCGACCAGACTTCGACGTGATACTACTTAGAGAAAAACACATGATCGACATGGAAAGAGGGAGGAAGAGTCAGAGGAACAAACAGAGAGAAAACAAAAAGGATAGAGATACACAGATAAAGAGACAAAGCGACAAAGAGAGAGAGAGAGGCAGTGAAGATCTACCGGTCTTCCCTGGGCTTGTGACTTAAATTAAGCTGTGTTGCTGTGCTGATCTTGTTAAGGGAGAGCTGGGGAGAGGCAGCCAGCTGTTATAAGACATCTTGCAACCTCTCCCTACTTACTCCCTAACTACCACTATTTAACTACACATACTTGTTGAGGGATATGAAGAGATACAAAGTGTGACCTCTAGTGGACAGTCTGTTTCTAATGATTAGCCTGGTTAAATCAGACTGAACCTAAATCAGACTGAACCTAAAATCAGACAACCTACATCAGATTGAACCTACTAACATTGTCAGTTTTTTACTAGGCTAGGCCATGAGGCCATTCCTTACAGAAACCAAGGAATCAGTACCGGTAAAGTGATTTTAGACTGGTGTTCTCAACCCTGGGATTATCATAGGTATTACGTTATTGAACAGAAATTGTAGTTATACCCTTACCATGTACTGTTTGAGCCCTGGAGGAGCCCACTCATAGGTGACAGACTTCATGGGCACGGCATCCTTCCTGACTGGCAAGACGTTGGCTGACACAGCAGTGGCTCTGATTGCCCCAGGTTTGGGCATGGTTGCGGGCCCAGCCCCAGCAGCGGCCCCAGCTCCGGCCCCAGCACCATAGCTAGCCACAGCTCCAACTCCAGCCCCGGTCCCAGCACCATAGCCAGCCCCAGCTCCAGCCCCATAGCCAGCATTGGCTGGCACAGTGTGGGCAGATTGGGGACTGTATGGAACAGCGGTTCCTGACATGGGGCTGGCGGAGATGGAGAAGGTGACCTGGTTGCCCTTGTATGTGGGGACGCCGTCGGTCTTGAGCTTGGCGATGAGGCCAGTGTACTTGGTATCCTCGAACAGCTTGCCCACCTTCCGGTTATCATCAGAGTTCATCTGCACATCGTGGTCCGTCAGCCCACACTTACAGTTCCGGCAGATCTTTCTGTGATGGGAGAAAGACAATGGGGAATAGGTTAGAATAGATGTTTGGTTGTGTCTAAGTACTCTCAAAATGTCTAGGTTTCCTTTATTTTACATTTACATTTTAGTCATTTAGCAGACGCTCTTATCCAGAGCGACTTACAGTTAGTGAATACATTTTTTTTTTTATACTGGCCCCCCATGGGAATCAAACCCACAACCCTGGCGTTGCGAACGCCATGCTCTATCAACTGAGCTAAATCCCTGCCGGCCATTCCCTCCCCTACCCTGGACAACGCTGGGCCAATTGTGCGCCGCCCATGAGTCTCCCGGTCGCGGCCGGCTGCGACAGAGCCTGGATTCGAACCAGGATCTCTAGTGGCACAGTTAGCACTGCGATGCAGTGCCTTAGACCACTGCGCCACTCAGGAGACAGATGATCACCTTTATGATCACCTAACCAGGAAAAGCTCTACCCACTGGGCACAGACGTCAATTCAACGTCTATTCCACGTTGGTTCAACAACATTACATTGAAATGATGTGGAAACTGTTGATTCAACCAGCGTGTGCCCAGTAGGTAGGCCCTAGAGCCCTCAAACTCAACGCTGGTCCGCCACTGCATTTTTTTATTGTTCTCCTCTAATCAGGGACTAATTTAGACCTGGGACACCAGGTGGATGCAATTAATTATCAGTTAGAACAGAAAACCAGCAGGCTCCGGACCTCATAGGGTAAGAGTTGAGTACACCTGCCCTATAGTGTAAGCAAGTCAAAGGCGTTTTGCTAGCTAGATAGATAGCTACCCTATTGCTTTCACTCTAGTTTGCACAAGTCTTTTCAGATCAGTGGTCATGGAAGAGAAGAGGAATAGGAAATATTCATTACTTTTGGGACACAGTCACAAGCCTGTGTGTGCGCATTTGTGTGTGTGTGTGTGTGTAAGTGGAGCTGTGGGAGACAGGATACTGGACAAGTGAGGTCACCACACTTCCGCTAAGATGGGATGAGTGATGTCGTCGCCTTAGGATCAAATGACACAGAATAGCTTTCCTGTTCCGTTCTTATTTCCACAGACTGGGCTTGCCCTGCGTGTCTGACCATGACCAAGACCGAAGCCCTCTGTGTGGCATTGTGGTGGTTAGGTGTTGCCATAGCGACTTTCCACCCGCAGTAGGCACCGGGGCACCTGTTGTGATGTCTTCAGGGAAGCTAGCCGAGTGTGGATAATTGTCGGGGGAAGCGGGAAGCAGGAAGGCTGGCATGGCATGAGGGGACAGTGGGACACACAACTATTTTCATGAGTCATTGGTCCAGATAAAGACTGCATTGTAAGTCCGGGAATCAGACAGGAAGTCAAAGTAATGTAGGACATTTCAGTTCTACAGTTAATTCAAATTTAAGAGGACAAAAACTGTAATAGTATCAACAATGATCGGGTGCAACATGCTTTCAGGGCCTGTGGCTTTCCCTGTTGTTGTGAAGCTAAGAGAAAATAAGCATTGTTGTTGGCCACACTGGGTTCATATTGAATTCAATATACACTACCAGTCAAAAGTTTGGACACACCTACTCATTCCAGGGTTTTTCTTAATTTTTACTATTTTCTACATTGTAGAATAATAGTGAAGACATCAAAACTATGAAATAACACATATGTGGTCCTCTGTAGCTCAATTGGTAGAGCATGGCGCTTGTAACGCCAGGGTAGTGGGTTCGTTCCCCGGGACCACCCATACGTAAAAATGTATGCACAAATGACTAAGTCGCTTTGGATTATATATATATATATATATATATATATATATATGGAATCATGTAGTAAACAAAAAAGTATTAAACAAATCAAAATATATTTTATATTTGAGATTCTTCAAATAGCCACCCTTTGCCTTGATGACAGCTTTGCACACTCTTGGCATTCTCTCAACCAGCTTCACCTGGAATGCATTTCCAACAGTCTTGAAGGAGTTCCCACATATGCTGAGCACTTTCAAGGCTGCTTTTCCTTCACTCATCGGTCCGACTCATCCCAAACCATCTCAATTGGGTTGAGGTCGGGGGATTGTGGAGGCCAGGTCATCTGATGCAGCACTCCATCACTCTCCTTCTTGGTCAAATAGCCCTTACACTGCCTGGAGGTGTGTTGGGTCATTGTCCTGTTGAAAGACAAATGATAGTAGGACTAAGCCCAAACCAGATGGGATGGCGTATCGCTGCAGAATGCTGTGGTAGCCATGCTGGTTAAGTGTGCCTTTAATTCAAAATAAATCACAGACAGTGTCACCAGCAAAGCACCCCTACACCATAACACCTCTTCCTCCATGCTTTACGGTGGGAAATACACATGCACATCTCACAAAGACACGGCAGTTGGAACCAAAAATCTCCAATTTGGCTCTCCAGACCAAAGGACAAATTTCCACCGGTCTAATGTCCATTGCTCGTGTTTCTTGGCCCAAGCAGGTCTCTTCTTATTATTGGTGTCCTTTAGTAGTGGTTTCTTTGCAGCAATTCGACCATGAAGGCCTAATTCACACAGTCCCTTCTGAACAGTTGATGTTGAGATGTGTCTGTTACTTGAACTCTGAAGCATTTATTTGGGTTGCAATTTGAGGTGCAGTTAACTCTAATGAACTTCTCCTCTGCAGCAGAGGTAACTCTGGGTCTTCCATTCCTGTGGCGGTCCTCATGAGAGCCAGTTTCATCATAGTGCTTGATGCTTTTCGCGACTGCACTTCAAGAAACTTTCAAAGTTCTTGAAATGTTCCGTATTAACTGACCTTCATGTCTTAAAGTAACGATGGACTGTCGTTTCTCTTTGCTTATTTGAACTGTTCTTGCCATAATATGGACTTGGTCTTTTACCAAATAGGGCTATCTTCTGTATACCACCCCTACCTTGTCAAAACACAACTGATTGGCTCAAACGCATTAAGAAGGGAAGAAATTCCACAAATGAACTTTTAAGGAGGCACACCTGTTAATTGAAATGCATTCCAGGTGACTACCTCATGAAGCTGGTTGAGAGAATGCCAAGAGTGTGCAAAGCTGTCAAGGCAAAGGGTGGCTATTTGAAGAATCTCAAATATATTTTGATTTGTTTAACACTTTTTTGGTTACTACATGATTCCATATGTGTTACGTCATAGTTTTGATGTCTTCACTATTATTCTACAATGTAGAAAATAGTAAAAATAAAGAAAAACCCTGGAATAAGTAGGTGTGTCCAAACTTTTGACTGGTACTGTATGAAAAAGTATTCAAGAGGAAAGAAAAACGTTTTTGTGCACTGCACAGACACAGACACACAACAATACAGAGCAATACAGTACAAACCTCCAGAAGTGCAGCTCGAACCCCTCACACTTTTCTTTGCATTTCAGACACGCCGCCCCAGCGCCGATCTCGTGGCCCAGGGTCATCTGCGAACAGACAGAACACAACACAACAATGACATTAACAGACGCACACGGTCTGGAGAAATTATTTCATACAATAGATAGTTTCAAGCCAGAGCTTGATATTTACTGTAGTTCATATGGTACAGTCACTACTTAGGCTTAGTTGTTTCGGGATGGCCTCTTCAAATACCCTAGTTAACAGAATCTGCAATGTTCTGTTAGTGTACAGAGTCATCTTGACATTTGCGTATAAACAAGCCTAACAACAAATTCAAAACAGAGAAACTGATGTCCCGTTAATCCCCAATCCCCCCTCAGATATATTCCAGATTTGATGCTTCAAGCAACAGCCTACTTTTCTCAACCATTCTGCATGTATTCTCTGCTGTTCTGATTCCTTTACCTCAGTGCCTATTTTGGTCAAATATTTGGCACCTCTAAAGTTGTGTTAGGCTACTTGCCAACTAAACAAGACTCACTAGGCTATAGGCCTAATTCCAGAGTTTATAGTCACAGCCATACTGTAGTATCCCCTTCCCCCTTCACATTTGCATCAATCAGACTAACTTCTCTACTTCAAACACCAGTGTTGTCCGTCTTGCACCGTCACAGCTGTCTGAGCCCTTATATGGTCAAGTATTCCACGGTTCCAGGTTGCATCCCAAATGGCACCCTTTTCCCTATACAGTGCCCTATTTACATTTACGTCATTTAGCAGACGCTCTTATCCAGAGCGACTTACAGTTAGTGAGTGCATAAATTTTTTTCATACTGGCCCCCCCGTGGGAATCGAACCCAGAACCCTGGCGTTGCAAGCGCCATGCTCTACCAACTGAGCTACACGGGGCCTGGGCCCTGGTCAAAAGTAGTGCACTACATAGGGAATAGGGTGCCATTTGGGAAACAACCAAGCACACTCTCCTGTTTGGTGAAGGCCGTTTTTGGCTCAGGGGGCCCTGAATGTGGAGCAGTGAGCCCCCCTCGGCCTTTGGGAATGTGGAGCAGTGAGCCCCCCTCGGCCTTTGGGAATGTGTAGCCGGCCTCTACAGAGGAATGCCAAGCTAAAGCCAGACTAGAGCTTTTAAGAGCATGACCTGTAAATAATATTTACATTAACCATCACCCTCTTTTCTCCACTTAAAGCTGCAATATGTAACTTTTTGGGCGACTTGACAAAATTCACATAGAAATTAGTTATAGTATAGATCTGTCATTCTCATTGAAAGCAAGTCTAAGAAGCAGTAGATCTGTTCTATGTAAGCTATTTCTATGCTTCCCGTTTTTAAGTTTCCTTTTTGTGTCTTTTACTTTCTGTTTTGTACACCAGCTTCAAACAGCTGAAATAATATTTCTGGTTATGGAAAATATATTTCACAGGGGTTTAGATGGTACAATGATTCTACACTATACTTGCTTGTTGTCACAAACTGAAATTAGGCGAACTATTCTAATTTTATCAACCAGGAAATGGCGGAGAGATTTCTGCATAGGGCATCTTTAACAATAGTAAATTATTATAAAGAAAGGGAAGCCTAGCTATTGGTGAGTCAGACATAAGGCTCTGCAAAGTGTCCATTGTCCAACTCATCTTTTCTGTTTTCAAAAGTCCATCTAACTGTGCCTTGCTTGCTTCATCTCTTCTGAAAATGTACACTGAACAAAAATATAAAAACGCAACAATTTCAAAGATTTTACTGAGTTACAGTTCATATAAGGAAATCAGTCAATTGAAATAAATGCATTAGGCCCTAATCTATGGATTTCACATGACTGGGAATACAGATATGCATCTGATGGTCACAGAAAAATTTTAAAACAGTAGGGGCGTGGATCAGAAAACCAGTCAGTATCTGGTGTGACCACCATTTGCCTCATGCAGCACGACACATCTCCTCATGCAGCACGACACATCAGGCTGTTGATTGTGGCCTGTGGAATGTTGTCCCACTCCTCTTCAAAGGCTGTGTGAAGTTGCTGGATATTGACGCAAACTGGAACAAGCTGTCGTACACGTCGATTCAGAGCATCTCAAACATGCTCAATGGGTGACATGTCTGGTGAGTATGCAGGCCATGGAAGAACTGGTGAGGACGACATAGCGCGCAGATGAGAGACAGTTTGTGCAGAAATTCTTAGGTTGTGCAAACCCACAGTTTCATCTGTGTGGCTGGTCTCAGACGATCCCGCAGGTAAAGAAGCCGGATGTGGAGGTCCTGGGCTGGCGTGGTTACACGTGGTCTGCGGTTGTGAGGCCGGTTGGACGTACTGCCAAACTCTCTAAAATGACGTTGGAGGCGGATTATGGTAGAGAAATTAACATTCAATTCTCTGGCAACAGTTCTGATGGACATTCCTGCAGTCAGCATTCCAATCGCACGCTCCCTCAAAACTTGAGACATCTGTGGAATTGTGTTGTGTGACAAAACTGCACATTTTAGAGTGGCCTTTTATTGTCCCCAGCACAATAAGGTGCACCTGTGTAATGATCATGCTGTTTAATCAGCTTCTTGATATGCCACACCTGTAAGGTGGATGGATTATCTCGGCAAAGGAGAAATGCTCACTAATTTGTTCACAAAATTTGAGAGAAAAGCTTTTTGTGCATATGGAACATTTCTGGGATCTTTTATTTCAGCTCTTGAAACATGGGACTGACACTTTGCATATATAAATATTTGTGAATCGTTTCCTTAAACTTCTAGGGAACACCCTAGAAGCCTCTCTTTCCAGAAGCCCATTAGGGAGATATATTGATCACTTTAGGCTACTGATTCATGAAGATAGACAAGTGTGGACTAGAGCCGTGTCAATGTAAATAAATGGCTCTGGTATGTTCTACTGTTCAGTAAAGCACTTAGGCTATGAGTATAATGTTTACAACTAGTCTAGCAATGATATAGGGTGCGTTCCTCTGCCCAGGCTTTACTGACACATACCAGATCTTACAACGCCTGGATAGGTATTTTAGGTATCAGCTAACCACATCATATGTTATAGCAATCAGCCAGTCGATGACGTAGCACGCAACCATTGGTTGATGCATGCAACGTCTTATCAGGGGAACATGACCAATGACACATTGCCATGAGTCACTTGCCATGAGGCGTCTCAGGTTGACAAGGGAAAAGTAGCCACAGTCCAGAAAATCTGAGAATTTCAAATGATCTTATGAGCAAGGGCTCAAATAAATCTTGAGCACTTGATGCCTTCAGAATGTATTAACTGAGTTATATTATTGATGGAATCTTTTAAGCTAATCAAGCATAGACAATCAAAATAAGTAGTTTTCTTTGATCAAAGGTCATTAGCAGTTTGACACAATTATCAGGGTCTCACATTTATGATTAGTGATCTAGTAATTATCGCGGCTTCACGCTGGTAATCTACTGAAGGTTAAAGGCCAATTCTGCGAAGCTTTCCCTTTGTGCAAGCGCATGGACCTTGATGACAGCTGACAGATGAGGGCTGTCTGGAATCATGGAGCCCCCACTCCACTCTCATGCCTTAATCTCTCTTAATCTCTTGACAGTTGAATTAAATGAGAATTAACAGAGAATGGTCCTCTGTTATGATGCAATAAATACAATTGAGTGACTCAGTGGATGTAGTAGGTGCTTTCTTTGTCAAAAAGATGCTGCATCAGACGGTATCACTGATGAGAGCTCGCGCGTGGGAGACAGGACCGGACGTCAGTCCTCACCTTCAGAATCTGATTATTGAAACATGATATTGAGATAAAGTCACCAATGGCTACGATGCAAAGAATGTCAATATATATATTAGGACAACTACGGGTTTGATATTTTTATATTTGATAAACTGACCTTGCACAGAAGCAAGAAGTTCGAGGTTCTAGCAATTGGCTACATATTTCTCACATATATAGTATTTTACAGTCAAAGGTAGTCTATGTAGCAAAAGTAGCTGGCTTTAAAGACAGGACGAGCCATCTTCCTTGCTGACTTTGCTAGCTTGTAGGATGTACCTCTAAGGGCGTTGCCATGTCTTATCTGGAACTACCCACAGGCATGAGGACTTACCTTCTTGATTTCCTTTTCTACCTCCATTTTCAGTTCCCCGCTGTAGGCTATGCTGGTTTAGTCCCGCCGTAGACTTTCAAAGTAAACACACAAAAACTTGGACTGACTTTAAGCTGACACTTATCTTTAGAAACACAACCGAGAGTTGATAGATTTTTACTCTGCCACCACTTCTTCCGGAACCGTCCCGTTCATTGCTTTGTTACTACGAAAAGCTTCCGCTATCTACAAGTTCTTCAACTCTGGACCAATAGGAATTGAGAGTGCAACCAATAAACGTACAGGACAGCCAATCATCGTTTAGCGAGGGGGGCCTCCTCAACAATAAAACAAAAATGAATGAACATGTAAACTACAGTAGTCTATAGGCTAATCCTTTCAAAGCGGTTTTGTTGGGTGTGGCTGTATTGGTTCTGGTGGAGCAAATATATCAGGTAGTCATAAGCCTATTGTTGTTAGTGTTTATAGTCAATACTTTTTACTATTAAATATGTCCTCTTACAGTATATGCTGATAGTTTTGGGGGGATATTTGACAACATACCAGACAGAGGAGCAGCAACTTAAATGTATCTGTGTGCAACACATTTCACATTTGTTACAGAGATGAATAGTATGTCTGCCACGCAAATGATACATCGACCCTCTGGCTGATTGGTTGAGTCTTGACACAGTCATGGATATCAGCTGTGTTTACTGTATAGCCATCCCTCCCAATCTAAAGCCTGCACATACTTATCATGTAGATGCAGGAAGTGTGTAGTAATGATGTGGTTTAGAGACGTCCTACCTCATGTGCATCTGTTTTGCTGTCCTTTTAAAAGAAGGCAATGGGTGTTTCACAGCTTGTGACCTTGTGTAACTGTGTTACAGACAAACTGCAAAACAGGCGGGTATCTAGGCAACTGTATAGATAATCATAAAATCATCATTAGGGGATGATTTGTGTAATTTCTCTAAATCATGATAAATTCTAATTTAATTTATTTCAATGCAGGCATGATTTTGTATGCCCTGTCTTTGCCAGCTAGTATGCAGAATAATCTTGCATGTCTGAGAGAAAAAATAAATACAAAACAAAATATTGTTAGACAAAATAAGGTCACGGTTCAAATACATTCTTCAGGATTTTGTCCACAGTGCTACTTGACAAATGTATTGCTGTGTCTTTGAGAGGAATGTATTGTGGGTGTGCCTGTCTGTAAGTTAATGATTTACTTCTAGATATGGAAAAACCAACATGTACTGTATCTTTGCTCTGTCATTCTTGTTATCAGCTCGATTGCATAAGACAGACTACAGTTACCCTTTTTAGAACATGCACAGGGAGGGCAGAGAGATCTGGTAGTGCATACTGTTTTAGTCTCAAATTAGAGGGCCTATATCAACCAAACAGGTAGCCTAAATGTAATTGAACAGTTTGTCAAATGATGTCTTAATAATCCAACTGTCTTCCCAGCAAACAGTGAACATTCTTACCTCCTACAGCGTTCACACAGTAGACACCAAATAGAACCTTTCAATTCAATCTGGCAAGAGGAAAAATTATTTGAGGAGTGATATTTTGAAAGCAAACAGCCTAACTATCTTTTTGTGTGTCTTTTTTTTTGTACTTTTACCTATTTTTCGTGATATCCAATTGGTAGTTACAGTCTTGTCCCATCGCTGCAACTCCCCTACGGACTCGGGAGAGGCGAAGGTCGAGAGCCATGCGTCCTCCGAAACACAGCCCTGCCAAGCCGCACTGCTTCTTGACACAGTGCTCGCTTAACCCGGAAGCCAGCTGCACCAATGTGTCGGAGGAAACACTGTCCAGCTGGCGACCGAAGTCAGCTTGCAGGCGCCCGGCCCACCATAAGGAGTCACTAGAGCACGTTTGGACAAGGAAAACCCGGCCGGCCAAACTCTCCCCTAACCCGGACGACGCTGGGCCATTTGTGCGCCGCCTCATGGGTCTCCCGGTCACGGCCGACTGTGACACAGGCTGCAGCCTAACTATCTTAAAACAGTTCCCTTTCACTATGCTACACTTTCTGTTTAAATGTAGCTCTGCTGATTATAGTGTTGCTGAGTCTGACACTAACCAGGCAGTACTGTAGCACAACTTCCTGAATACAGGCTGGCTACAAATGCATTAGCCTACATCTGGTGCTTTGTCAAATGTGGCCCTTTTGCCGCCCTTCATAACATGTCATGGCATTTGCTTATGAATGCTTTCTGAAGCATCTAAATAGGCCATGTAAAGGGTTTATAAAGGCTTCATTAAGCCTTAAAAGTTATTGTTTGTGTAAAGCTGGACCGAGCATTGGATCATGGCTCTATGGTATGGGTATTGACATCATCTTGAGGTATTTGTGTAGAAACACACATCAGTCAAATGCCTTAACTTGTAGGCCTATTATACCCACTATACATGTTTGTTTCAGATGTATTCATAAATACATGTATTTTTATATCAAACTCAAACTAAAGCAAATACTGGCAAAATGGATGGCAAAGGTACAGAAACGACCCATCTGGTACTTCCCAGGATCTCCTGGCTGGCATGGGAAGCAAAGCAGCAGGCATCCCATGCAAGTCCCCTTAAACAAGGTCATGTGATCAGGACCATGGCATAAAAGGTTGTGGGCAAGGCGTATGTCTGTACTCTATTGCAATGATGAAAGGACTGCTGGTCTTGACTGTGCTGTTTGTGGCCATTTTCGGCAAGGAAACATTTGAGGGGTGAGTGGACACACCAATGGTTGGTACTCATTTTGGGGAATATGTCTAATTCTATTTGGTGTCATGTTTGATATATCACCAGTAGTTGCTTTATAAAGATTGATGAACCATAGGAAGGGTAATGAAAACATATAATATGCCATTTAGCAGACGCCTTTATCCAAAGCGACTTACAGTCATGTGTGCATACATTTTTACGTATGGGTGGTCCCGGGGATCGAACCCACTACCCTGGCGTTACAAGCGCCATGCTCTACCAATTGAGCTACAGAGGACCACTATGTCATGCTTGCCTGATTCTGTAGACATGAGTTGCTTCTTCAATCTGCGTGACAGTCAGGCTCTATTACTTTTCAATAAATTCAAATGAATCATTAAAGATGGCTACTCATGGAGGAAAGGACAGAGAATATCTCAATGTTAACTGTTGAGAGGAAGCAAAGCTTATGGTCAAGGTTGACTCCAACTGTAAGTCATGGTGTTGCTAAGCAGACGTTTCACCACAGTCTATGCAACTCAACTTTTCCTCTCCCTTTCTCAACTCCAACCTCCCTCTCTGACCATGACTAAAGCATAGTTCAAATCTGAATGGTTCTCCTGTCTTTGCAGTGACCAGGTCCTTCGTATCACTGCGAAGGATGAGGTCCAGCTCGCTCTCCTGAAGGACCTGTCTGAGATGGAACATCTCCAGGTGTGACATGACAATGATCATCATCATCATCATCATCATCTCCACCACTGAAGCCACATACATCTTACCCCACCACCTCATTCAAAACACTATAGCCTACTGCATTGACATTTCCATTTCAAAGCGAAGTTCGACAAACATTGCTATGAACACAGTATGAATTCGAATTAATTCACTAGCCCAAGAACTGGGAGGGAGAAATATATGTTTGTCATGGTCATGGGCAAAGAAACTCAAAAGGGGTGATAATGTTAATTAACAATAATTTTGATCCGATTGTGCAACCACATCCTGAAGGAAGATGGATCCTTCTAAATATGCTATTGGACCAAAAACAGATTTGGCTATTTAATCTATATGGTCCAACTATTGATGATCCACACTTCTTCGAAAATATATATAATAATCTATTGAGCTCACAAGTAACAATTGAATCGATTATTATGGTGGGGATTATAAAATGGTTTCAAGTACCTCAAAGGACCGTAAAGGAAATCACACTACAAACTATCACCCTCATGCACTTAAGGAGATCACGAATATCATGGATACATTAGAACTAGTAGATATATGGAGGCTAAAGAACCCTGACCTAGTGAGATATACATGGAGGAGGCTTAATCAAGCTAGCCGTCTTGACTACTTCCTTGTGTCATTCTTGCTGGCATCACAATTTACAAAAGTATTGATAGGAGACCGAATGCGATCGGACCACCATCTAATTGGCCTCCACATAACTCTTGCAGAATTTCCACATGGACGCGGATATTGGAAATGTATTCAAAACCTACTGGATGACAATTTGTTCTTAACTAAGACAAAATAATTCATATTGGCTTTTTTTCTGCAGAACATACACTACCATTCAAAAGTTTGGGGTCACTTAGAAATGTCCTTGTTTTCTAAAGAAAAGCATTTTTTTTGTCCATTAAAATAACATCAAATTGATCAGAAATACAGTGTAGACATTGTTAATGTTGTAAATGGCTATTGTAGCTGGAAACGGCTGATTTTTTATGGAATATCTACATAGGCGTACAGAGACCCATTATCAGCAACCTGTGTTCCAATGGCACGTTGTGTTTGCTAATCCAAGTTGAACATTTTAAAAGGCTAATTGATCATTAGAAAACCATTTTGCAATTATGTTAGCACAGCTGAAAACTGTTGTGCTGATTAAAGAAGCAATAAAAACTGACCTTCTTGAGACTAGTTGAGTATCTGGAGCATCAGCAATTGTGGGTTTGATTACAGGCTCAAAATGGCCAGAAACAAAGACATTTCTTCTGAAACTCATCAGTCTATTCTTGTTCTGAGATATGAAGGCTATTCCATGCGAGAAATTGCCAAGAAACTGAAGATCTCGTACAACGCTGTGTACTACTCCCTTCACAGAACAGCGTAAACTGGCTCTAACCAGAATAGAAAGAGGAGTGGGAGGCCCCGGTTCACAACTGAGCAAGAGGACAAATACATTAGAGTGTATAAACAGGCGCCTCACAGGTCCTCAACTGGCAGCTTCATTAAATAGTACCCGCAAAACACAAGTCTCAACGTCAACAGTGAAGAGGCGACTCCGGGATGCTGACCTTCTAGGCAAAGTTGCAAAGAAAAAGCCATATCTCAGACTGCCCATCTTAATCTTTTCTTTTTATTGGCCAGTCTGAGATATGGCTTTTTCTTTGCAACTCTGCCTAGAAGATAAGCATCCCGGAGTCGCCTCTTCTTAAGTCCGCAATCTGGATCCCTGCACGGTCTCATTGAAGATCACTTTTCCAGCCTCTCTGGACTAAAACTAAAAGTGTACCATATTAAGTATTGGATCGTTAAAATACACAATTTTTACACTACTGTACCTTGTAGTTTACCCGATGGTGAAATAGACATACTTGGTATTCATATCTCTAAAGATATAAACAAACGTACCACAACCAATTTCAATATAAAGTTAGCAAAAAATGTATGGATAAGTCACATTGATTAACTCTTTGGTCCTATCACAGTTTGCTTACTTACTTATGGCGCTGCCTACTCCAGACAATTCGTTTTGCAAATCATATGAGCAAAAAATATTTCACTTTATTTGGAACGCTAAGCCAAACAAAATTAAACATGCCTATTTATATAATGAATATGAGTTTGGGGGGCTGAAATTATTAAATATTAAAGCATTAAACCTCTCACTAAAAGCTTCACTCATTCATAAGTTTTACTTAAACCCAAACTGGTTCTCCAGTAGATTACTAAGAACATCCTTTGTTAAAGAATTGCCTTTTTGAAATGTTCTGATTCATTTCTTAAACAAGCCATACAAAGCTGGTTACAATTATTACAACAAATATTACAACAAATATTATAGTTTAACTCAAATATTGATTGATAAAAAAAAGTTATGGTGGACTTATGTCACATATGCAGCTATCGAAAATATATGGGAATGTTTGTTCATTTAAAAGTTACAACCAACTGATTGCAGCTTTACCACAAAAATGGAAGAGGCAAGTGGAAGAGGGAGAAGGTAGGGTTTGGTTGTTTGTCTACCATATATTAAAGACAACAATTTGCTGAAAAAGACTGGCATAAATAGACAAATATACCAGTTTCATTTGATGACAAAAATGTTGACAGGTGCGCCATACAGGTTGCAAAATAGCTGGGAAGAGATTTCCGATGTACCGATTCCATGGCACAATATTATACAAAATTATTCTCACCACCAGAATACTGTATATATACAGTTGAAGTCCGAAGTTTACATACACTTAGGTTGGAGTCATTAAAACCCGTTTTTCAACCACGCAACACATTTCTTGTTAACAAACTATAGTTTTGGCAAGTCTGTTAGGACATCTACTTTGTGCATGACACAAATAATTTTTCCAACAATTGTTTACAGACAGATTATTTCACTTATAATTCACTGTATCACAATTCCAGTGGGTCAGAAGTTTACATACACTAAATTGACTGTGCCTTTAAACATGATGTCATGGCTTTAGAAGCTTCTGATAGGCTAATTGACATAATTTGAGTCAATTGGAGGTGTACCTGTGGATGTATTTCAAGGCCTACCTTCAAACTCAGTGCCTCTTTGCTTGACATCATGGAAAAATCAAAAGAAATCAGCCAAGACCTCAGAAAAACAATTGTAGACCTCCACAAGTCTGGTTCATCCTTGGGAGCAATTTCCAAACGCCTGAAGGTACCGCGTTCATCTGTACAAACAATAGTACGCAAGTATAAACAACATGGGACCACGCAGCCATCATACCGCTCAGGAAGGAGACGTGTTCTGTGTCCTAGAGATGAACGTACTCTGGTGCGAAAAGTGCAAATCAATCCCAGAACAACAGCAAAGGACCTTGTGAAGATGCTGGAGGAAACAGGTACAAAAGTATCTATATCCACAGTAAAACAAGTCCTATATCCACATAACCTGAAAGGCCGCTCAGCAAGGAAGAAGCCACTGCTCCAAAACCGCCATAAAAAAGCCAGACTACGGTTTGCATCTGCACATAGGGACAAATATCGTACATTTTGGAGAAATGTCCTCTGGTCTGATTAAACAAAAATAGAACTGTTTGGCCATAATGACCATCGTTATGTTTGGAGGAAAAAGGGGGTGCCTTGCAAGCCGAAGTACACCATCCCAACTGTGAAGCACGGGGGTGGCAGCATCATGCTGTGGGGGTGCTTTGCTGCAGGAGGGACTGGTGCACTTCACAAAATAGATGGCATCATGAGGAAGGAAAATTATGTGGATATATTGAAGCAACATCTCAAGACATCAGTCAGGAAGTTAAAGCTTGGTCGCAAATGGGTCTTCCAACTGGACAATGACACCAAGCATACTTCCAAAGTTGTGGCAAAATGGCTTAAGGACAACTAAGTCAAGGTATTGGAGTGGCCATCACAAAGCCCTGACCTCAAACCTATAGAACATTTCTGGGCAGAACTGAAAAAGCGTGTGCAAGCAAGGAGGCCTACAAACCCGACTCAGTTACATCAGCTCTGTCAGGAGGAATGGGCCAAAATTCACCCAACTTATTGTTGGAAGCTTGTGGAAGGCTACCCAAAACGTTTGACCCAAGATAAACAATTTAAAGGCAACGCTACCAAATACTAATTAATGTATGTTAACTTCTGACCCACTGGGAATGTGATGAAAGAAATAAAAGCTGAAATAAATAATTCTCTCTACTATTATTCTGATATTTCACATTCTTAAATAAAGTGGTGATCCTAAATGACATAAGACAGGGAATTTTACTAGGATTAAATGTCAGGAATTGTGAAAAACTTAGTTTAAATGTATTTGGCTAAGGTGTATGTAAACTTCCGACTTCAACTGTATATATATATATACAGTTGAAGTCGGAAGTTTACATACACCTTTCTCACCAAAGTATGTTCATCTCTAGGAGACAGAACGCGTCTCCTTCCTGAGGGGTATGACAGCTGCGTAGTCCCATGGTGTTTATACTTAGTACTATTGTTTGTACAGATGAACGTGGTATCTTCAGGCGTTTGGAAATTGCTCCCAAGGATGAACCAGACTTGTGGAGGTCTACAATTCTTTTTCTGAGGTCTTGGCTGATTTCTTTTGATTTTCCCATGATGTCAAGCAAAGAGGCACTGAGTTTGAAGGTAGGCCTTGAAATACATCCACAGGTACACCTCCAATTTTTTATTAAATTGATTTTACCTTTATTTAACTAGGCAAGTCAGTTAAGAACAAATTCTTATTCACAATGACGGCCTACACCGGCCAAACCCGGACAACGCTGGACCAATTGACTCAAATGATGTCAATTAGCTTATCAGAAGCTTCTAAAGTCATGACATCTTTTTCTGGAAATTTCCAAGGTGTTTAAATGCACAGTAAACTTCTGACCCACTGGAATTGTGATACAGTGAATTATAAGTGAAATAATCTGTCTGTAAACGATTGTTGGAAAAATGACTTGTGTCATGCACAAAGTAGATGTCCTATCAGACTTGCCAAAACTATAGCTTGTTTTACAAGAAAGTTGTGGAGTGGTTGAAAAACACGTTTGAATGACTCCAACCTAAGTGTATGTAAACTTCCGACTTCAACTGTATATTAATATATATATATATATATATATATGTATATGTGTATATATTTATATATATATATATATATATATATATATATATATATATATATATATATATATATATATATATAGGACATACAACAATCTCAGCTCTGCAGATTTATTTGTGAAGAGACAGAATCATTAGATCATTTATTCTGGTATTTGATCCCCTGCTGATTTTGTAAGTTTGCCTACTGACAAAGAAATGGATCAGTCTATAATTTTAATGGTAGGTTTATTTGAACAGTGAGAGACAGAATAACAACAAAAAAATCCAGAAAAACGCATGTAAAAAATTATATAAATTGATTTGCATTTTAATGAGGGGAAAAAGCATTTGATCCCCTGCTGATTTTGTACGTTTGCCCACTGACAAAGAAATGGATCAGTCTATAATTTTAATGGTAGGTTTATTAGAACAGTGAGAGACAGAATAACAACAACAAAATCCAGAAAAACGCATGTCAAAAATGTTCTAAATTGATTTGCATTTTTATGAGGGAAAAAGCATTTGATCCCCTGCTGATTTTGTACATTTGCCCACTGACAAATAAATGGATCAGTCTATAATTTTAATGGTAGGTTTATTTGAACAGTGAGAGACAGAATAACAACAACAAAATCTAGAAAAAATGCATGTCAAAAATGTTATAAATTGATTTGCATTTTAATGAGGGAAATAAGTATTTGACCCCCTCTCAATCAGAAAGATTTCTGGCTCCCAGGTGTCTTTTATACAGGTAACGAGCTGAGATTAGGACCACAATCTTAAAGGGAGTGCTCCTAATCTCAGCTTGTTACCTGTATAAAAGACACCTGTCCACAGAAGCAATCAATCGATCAGATTCCAAACTCTCCACCATGGCCAAGACCAAAGACCTCTCCAAGGATGTCAGGGACAAGACCTACACAAGGCTGGAATGGGCTACAAGACCATCGCCAAGCAGCTTGGTGAGAAGGTGACAACAGTTGGTGTGATTATTCGCAAATGGAAGAAACACAAAAGCACTGTCAAGCTCCCTCGGCCTGAGGCTCCATGCAAGATCTCACCTCGTCTGAATGATTCAGAGGAGAACTGGGTGAAAGTGTTGTGGTCAGATGAGACCATAATCGAGCTCTTTGGCATCAACTCAACTCGCCGTGTTTGAAGGAGGAGGAATGGTGCTTATGACCCCAAGAACACCATCCCCACCGTCAAACATGGAGGTAGAAACATTATGCTTTGGGGGTGTTTTTCTGCTAAGGGGACAGGACAACTTCACCGCATCAAAGGGACGATTGACGGGGCCATGTACCGTCAAATGTCGGGTGAGAACCTCCTTCCCTCAGCCAGGGCATTGAAAATGGGTCGTGGATGGGTATTCCAGCATGACAATGACCCAAAACACACGTCCAAGGCAACAAAGGAGTGGCTCAAGAAGAAGCACATTAAGGTCCTGGAGTGGCCTAGCCAGTCTCCAGACCTTAATCCCATAGAAAATCTATGGAGGGAGCTGAAGGTTTGAGTTGCCAAACGTCAGCCTCGAAATCTTAATGACTTGGAGAAGATCTGCAAAGAGGAGTGGGACAAAATCCCTCCTGAGATGTGTGCAAACCTGGTGGCCAACTACAATAAACATCTGACCTCTGTGATTGCCAACAAGGGTTTTGCCACCAAGTACTAAGTCACGTTTTGCAGAGGGGTCAAATACTTATTTCCGTCATTAAAATGCAAAACAATGTATAACATTTTTGACATGCTATTCTGTCTCTCACTGTTCAAATAAACCTACCATTCAAATTATAGACTGATCATGTCTTTGTCAGTGGGCAAACGTACAAAATCAGCAGGGGATCAAATACTTTTTTCCCTCACTGTAGCTTGTTTCTGGTCACAGGTTCAGGAATGGTTTAAAAAAATCACAACATTCTTTTAATATGAACCCTACAAATAGCAGTGTTGGGCGATTTGGAAAGCCACAGTCAATCAATCAACAATATAATAATATTCGTAGGAAAGGTTTTCCTCTTTAGCTCACAATCTGTGGATACTATGCGATTAAAAAGGTTCAAAATACATGTAAAACATCACAGCACAGAGAGAAAGACAGTAGTTGAACAGTTTTGAACAAATACATTTCTTCAAAAATGAAGAAAAAGCAAGAAAGAGAGAGAGAGCTAGCTATATTTCTTATTTTTTTCACTTTCACTTATTTAGCTATTGAATGCAGCTAGCTAGTTGAGCCTACTCAAACATCTTGCTCAAACATAGAGGGATGCTATGTTACCTAGCTGGCTATGGCTATCCAACATTGGAACTCTTCCAAGTCAAGGTAAGCTTTTGGTTTTATTAATTTATTGCCACCAGGGCCCGCCGGTGTAACTGCTAAACTGCTTGTACACTGTACTGCATGATTGTAGCGGGTTTACTAACGCGTTAGTTCTAGTACCTATGTTGACTTGACATTAGCTAATATAGTGACAATGATGTAGGCTGTGTGTAGTGGTTAGTGATTATGATATGAAGGTTATACTTGGAAAGGTTTTTTCGCCTGGTCACAGACAGCTGATGTGTTGTGAATGTGCACTGAAGTCCACAAGCGAAAGGAAAAGGTGAGAGGAGGAGGGCACGTAGAGCGAGAAGAAATTATCCAACGATCAAAAGGATCATGCTGTTTGTATGTGGCTGCTGATGCAACTGAACTGTGTTTGCATGTGATCAGGGGGTGTATTCCATTCTGCCGATTCTGTTGAAAATGTTTCTTAAACGGAAGTGACCGGAACAAAAACGGGGAAAACCCTGAGTTGTCCAATAAACTCTCATTTGCACAGTTGGATAATGATACCCTAGATCACTACATGCAGGCAGATTGTGCTAGGTGGTATGAATGTGTCAAGTCTGTCACCAGATTACTCAAATTTCATCGACCTCTGCACTACTTTGTAAACGTTCATCATAGGCTGTTGTAGCACTGATGGGTAAGGGAACATGTATGATGTAGTACGCCTAAACTAATCATGTTAGCATTAGCTGGGGGATGAATAGGAATACAAGATTCAAATGCTTGGTTGGTAAGTTGTTGTCTTGTGTTACTCCACTCGTCACCCTGCCCTCTCTCTCCTCCCTGCTCTCTCCTTCCTCCTCTCTCCTCCCTCCTCTCTCCAAGCTGGATGTGTGGATGGAGCCCACTGACCTCTCCACTCCTGTGGACATCAGAGTTCCCTTCACCAGCCTGCAGACCGTCAAGGCATTCCTGGAGACTGAAGACATCCCGTATCCGTCATGATCATGGACTTGCAGGTAGGATCATACACACACACACCACACAATATAATTATGGGGTGGGTAGGAGTCAAGGAGGAAGTGACTGAGGTCAGGGCGATTACTTCAGTCTTTACTTTGTCTTGAAATAGTATATCCATGTCATGACTTACAGTAAATAAATAAGATGGTTGAATAAGATTATGTGCAACAGCTCAATTTGATCTGGGCTCACAACTGATAAAATATTATTCGGATAAAGTCATATGGGTCCGAAAATAGTTGTTTCATAAGAGTGTTATAATCAGATAAAGTGTTTTTTTTTAAAGCATGTTAGTGACCTTTGACCCCTGTTTTGCCCACAGGTTATGTTGGACGACGAGCAGGACCAGATGCTGAGTGCCCGTGCCGCTGCCCCCAGAACCACAGATGACTACGACTACTCCAACTACCACACCATTGCTGATGTAATTACCAACCCATCACACAAGCAGCAAGGAGAAATGGCCCATTTCACATGATCACTCTGAACTCACATTGAGTGAGACATCTTTAATACTGTCATCGTAAGACCCACCTAAGAATGCTGAAACCAAAGCAAGACACTGTTTTCTGTTGTTGAAACCTACAGTATTTTGGGGAACACTTTATTTGAAATGTCCTTAACACATTCAAAAGGAGAACATAAGGATTTATGAAAAGCTTATGTCAACAACCCCTCTCTCTCTCTCTCTCTCTCTCTCTCTCTGTCTGTCTGTCTGTCTGTCTGTCTGTCTGTCCTGTCGTCTCTCTCTCTCTCTCTCTCTCTCTCTCTCTCTCTCTCTCTCTCTCTGTCTCTCTCTCTCTCTCTCTCTCTTCTCTCTCTCCTCTCTCCTTCTCTCTCTCTCTCTCTCTCTCTCTCTCTCTCTCTGTCTCTCTCTCTCTCTCTCTCTCTGTCTCTCTCTCTCTGTCTCTCTGTCTCTCTCTCTCTGTCTCTCTCTCTCTCCTCTCTCTCTCTCTCTCTCTCTCTCTCTCTCTCTCTCTCTCTCTCTGTCTGTCTCTGTCTCTGTCTGTCTCTCAATTCAATTCAATTCAATAGACTTTATTGACATGGCAAGTTAAATTTCTTACATTGTCAAAGTATACATATAACAAAAATGGTGGGACCAACAGCAATAGCAGTAGTGGAAATGGGATTACCATTAACAGCAACTACAACAACAATATTCATGAGAATAACAATACATTAAAGCAATAGTAGTCGACCAGTCTCAACATAACTGAAAATACACATTACATGGTATGAAAGCCAAAACAAAACAATAAATATTATTGACATTACATTACACTTTTCACTGGCTGTCCCTCAGGTTGTGGCAGGAGGACACATATTTGGCTGCCAAAATTGCACATTTTGGCTTTTCACCCAATAAATATTTGATTTTTTCTTCCTCTTTTATAGTTTCAAATTCTTTGTACTGAATGATAATTTGGGGAAAGAAAGATTCTCTTAGGTCTGAATATTTGTCACAGTGTAATAGGAAATGCAGCTCTCTCTACCTCTCCCCGGTGGCAGAGTGAACACAGCCTGTCCTCTCTGGGCAGCCAGGTTTGCCTGTGACGACCGGTCTCTATAGCCAGACTGTGCTCACTCTGCCACCGGGGAGAGGTAGAGAGAGCTGCATTTCCTATTACACTGTGACAAATATTCAGACCTAAGAGAATCTTTCTTTCCCCAAATTATCATTCTGTACTTAGCCATTGTTTTCCTCAGTTTTCTATCAGTCACAGTGGTCAGATAGTCTGCCACCATGTACTGTCTGTTTAGAGCCAAATAGCATTGAAGTTTACTTAGATTTTTTGTGGTGTCTTTCCAATAAGTGATATATTTTGAATTTTGCTTCGTGATGATTTGGTTGGGCCAGATTTTCCTGAGTGCTGTCCTGAGGCTCTATGAGGTTGGTTTTGTTTAGTGAACTGAGCCTCAGAACCAGCTGGCTGAGGGGACTCTTATCTTGTTTCATCTCTTGACATAGTAGAGCTGTGTGATGGAATGTTTTGGGGTCACTTGTTTTTAGATGGTTGTAAAATTTGATGGCTCTTTTTTCTATTCGAATAAGGAGGGGGTATTGGCCCAATTCTGCTCTACATGCGTTATTTTGAGTTTTTCTTTGCACTTGCAATACAGTCTTGCAAAACTCTGCAGGCAGTATTTCAATTGGATGTTTGTCCCATTTGGTGAATTCAGTATTAGAGAGCGGACCCCATACTTTGCTGCCATATAGAGCAATTGGTTCTATAACTGATTGGAACATTTTGAGCCAGATTCTAATTGGAATTTCGATTTTAATATTCCTTTTAATGGCATAGAATGCTCTTCTTGCTTTGTCTCTCAGCTCATTCACAGCCATGTGAAAGCTACCTGTGTTGCTGATATTTAGTCCTAGATACGTGTAATTTTTTGGTGTATTCTAATAGAATTGTGTCCAAATAGAATTTATATTTGTCATCCAATAACATCTTATGTTTTCCCTCCAATACCACTTTCTATTAGTTTGTAAAAAAAAAAGACCTTCGTGCCAAATTGAATCAAATGCTTTCTTGAAGTCTGCAAAACACGAGTAGATTTTGCCTTTGTTCTGGTTTACTTGTTTGTCAATTAGTGTGTGGAGGGTGTAAATGTGGTCTGTTGTACGATAATTTAAAAATAAATCCAATCTGGCTTCTGCTTAGGACGTTGTGTTCATCAAGGAAATGATGTAGTCTGCTGTTTATGATACTGCAGAGAATTTTCCCCAAGTTGCTGTTAACGCAAATTCCTCTGTAATTATTTGGGTCAAATTTGTCTCAATTTTTATAGATTGGTGTGATCAATCCTTGGTTCCAAATATCGGGGAAAATACCTGCAGTTAGGATAATGTTGAATAGTTTGAGTATAGCCAATTTGAATTTGTGGTCTGTATATTTGATCATTTCATTTAAAATACCATCAGCACCACATGCCTTTTGGGGTTTTTCCAATAATTATTGTTCTGTAATTGGGGTATACACAGGATTCTGATAGTCTTTGACTGCTGATTCAAGGATTTGTAATTTTTCTTGTATATCTTGTTGTTCTGGGCTCTTTGTTATATTGCTGTAGAGGTTTGCAAAGTGATTTCTCCACATATCCCCATTTTGAATAGCCAATTCCTCATTATGAGGTTTGTTTAATTTATTCAAATTCTCCCAGAAGTGGTTTGATTCTATGGATTCCTCAATTACATCCAGCTAATGTGCTGTTCCTTTTTTGTTCTTAGGGTGTGTTTGTATTGCTTCAGTGTTTCCCCATATTGAAGGCATATATTTTTATTGTCTGGGTCTCTGTGTTTTTTTTTTTCTCTAGATATATTTCTCAATGGCTTTCTTAGATTTTTGCAATCATTATCAAACCATTTTTCATTATCTATTCTTTTTGGTTTGCTCTTATGTTTCTTTGGATTAGCCAAGGAGGCTAATTTGTCAAATATAAAATGTATGTTCCAAACGGCCAATTTACACCTTCATTGCTGAAGGAGAATGTTAAGGCTAAAAAGTTGTCCAGGAGAGATTGTATTTTTGGGCTACTAATTGCTTTTTGGTAGATATCTGTACTGTTTGCACTCCATCTATAGGTCTGTTTAGTACCATGTCATTTATTGGGCCGTGATGCTTCATGGTTGGGTTCTGCTCTTCTCAGATACACTGTGATTTTACTGTGAAACCAGTTTTGTTTATCTGCTGCTGTTACTAGCTAGCTTTTTTTTCTCTCCTCTCTCCTCTCTCTCTCTCTCTCTCTCTCTCTCTCTCTCTCTCTTCTCTCTCTCTCTCTCTCTGTCTCTCTCTGGTCTCTCTGTCTGTCTGTCTGTCTGTCGCTGTTGCTGCTGCCTGCTGCTGCTGCTGCTGCCTGCTGCTGTCTGCCTGCCTGCGCTGCTGCTCTGTCTGCCTGCTGCTGTGTCTGTCTGTCTGTCTGTCTGCTGCTGTCTGTCTGTATCTGTCTGTCTGTCTGTCTTGTCTGCTGTCTGTCTGTCTGTTGTCTGTCTGTGTCTGTGTCTGTCGTCTTCGTCTCTCTCTCTCTTCTCTCTCTCTCTCTCTCTCTCTCTCTCTCTTCTCTCTCTCTATCTATCTATAATATATATATATATATATATAGATATATATATGTATATACAGTGGGAAAAGTATTTAGTCAGCCACCAATTGTGCAAGTTCTCCCACTTAAAAAGATGAGAGAGGCCTGTAATTTTCATCATAGGTACACGTCAACTATGACAGACAAATGAGAAAAAAAAATCTAGAAAATCACATTGTAGGATTTTTAATGAATTTATTTGCAAATTATGGTGGAAAATAAGTATTTGGTCAATAACAAAAGTTTCTCAATACTTTGTTATATACCCTTTGTTGGCAATGACACAGGTCAAACGTTTTCTGTAAGTCACATTTCATTTTTTCACATTTTAGCAGACGCTCTTATCCAGAGCGACTTACAGTTAGTGAATACATTTTTTTTTTTATACTGGCCCCCCGTGGGAATCGAACCCACAACCCTGGAGTTGCAAACACCATGCTCTATCAACTGAGCTACATCCCTGCCAGCCATTCCCTCCCCTACCCTGGGCCAATTGTGCACCGCCCATGAGTCTCCCGGTCGCGGCCGGCTGCGACAGAGCCTGGATTCGAACCAGGATCTCTAGTGGCACAGTTAGCACTGCGATGCAGTGCCTTAGACCACTGCGCCACTCAGGAGGTGTAAGTCTTCACAAGGTTTTCACACACTGTTGCTGGTATTTTGGCCCATTCCTCCATGCAGATATCCTCTAGAGCAGTGATGTTTTGGGGCTGTCGCTGGGCAACACAGACTTTCAACTCCCTCCAAAGATTTTCTATGGGGTTGAGATCTGGAGACTGGCTAGGCCACTCCAGGACCTTGAAATGCTTCTTACGAAGCCACTCCTTCGTTGCCCGGGCGGTGTGTTTGGGATCATTGTCATGCTGAAAGACCCAGCCACGTTTCATCTTCAATGCCCTTGCTGATGGAAGGAGGTTTTCACTCAAAATTTCACGATACATGGCCCCATTCATTCTTTCCTTTACACGGATCAGTCGTCCTGGTCCCTTTGCAGAAAAACAGCCCCAAAGCATGATGTTTCCACCCCCATGCTTCACAGTAGGTATGGTGTTCTTTGGATGCAACTCAGCATTCTTTGTCCTCCAAACACGACGAGTTGAGTTTTTACCAAAAAGTTCTATTTTGGTTTCATCTGACCATATGACATTCTCCCAATCCTCTTCTGGATCATCCAAATGCACTCTAGCAAACTTCAGACGGGCCTGGACATGTACTGGCTTAAGCAGGGGGACACGTCTGGCACTGCAGGATTTGAGTCCCTGGCGGCGTAGTGTGTTACTGATGGTAGGCTTTGTTACTTTGGTCCCAGCTCTCTGCAGGTCATTCACTAGGTCCCCCCGTGTGGTTCTGGAATTTTTGCTCACCGTTCTTGTGATCATTTTGACCCCACGGGGGTGAGATCTTGCGTGGAGCCCCAGATCGAGGGAGATTATCAGTGGTCTTGTATGTCTTCCATTTCCTAATAATTGCTCCCACAGTTGATTTCTTCAAACCAAGCTGCTTACCTATTGCAGATTCAGTCTTCCCAGCCTGGTGCAGGTCTACAATTTTGTTTCTGGTGTCCTTTGACAGCTCTTTGGTCTTGGCCATAGTGGAGTTTGGAGTGTGACTGTTTGAGGTTGTGGACAGGTGTCTTTTATACTGATAACAAGTTCAAACAGGTGCCATTAATACAGGTAACGAGTGGAGGACAGAGGAGCCTCTTAAAGAAGAAGTTACAGGTCTGTGAGAGCCAGAAATCTTGCTTGTTTGTAGGTGACCAAATACTTATTTTCCACCATAATTTGCAAATAAATTCATTAAAAATCCTACAATGTGATTTTCTGGATTTTTCTTTCTCAATTTGTCTGTCATAGTTGACGTGTACCTATGATGAAAATTACAGGCCTCTCTCATCTTTTTAAGTGGGAGAACTTGCATAATTGGTGGCTGACTAAATACTTTTTTTCCCCCACTGTATTTATATATATATCCCTTCAGATCTACAGTTTCCAGGACATGCTGGTGGTTGAGAACCCCAATCTGGTCAGCAAGATCGTGATTGGCCAGAGTTACCAGGGACGCCCCCTGAATGTTCTCAAGGTAAGTTCCTGATGACAGTGGTCGTGTTTTTATCTGCTATGGCCTTGTCATTTTACTAGTACTCTTTACAAGTGAAATATAGATCTAAAAGTCAGTGAAGGTATAGTTTTTGCCTAATCCCGGACGAGCCCCCATTTTTTGGTACATGTTACATGTTAAATGTGTATCAAGTTTACAGTATTTGAGTATTGTAGTAGGTGTTCTGTACACCCCCTTTCTTCTCTCTTTTCTAGTTCAGTACTGGTGGAACCAACAAACCTGGTATCTGGCTTGACACAGGAATCCATTCCAGGGAATGGGTCACTCAGGCTAGCGGCACCTGGTTCGCCAAGAAGGTGCATCAGTGTTTTCTCCCCCACAGTCTTTAAACCTTTTCCCTCTCGTCATTTACACGTGTCTCACTTTCACTTTGACTAACTTTCTATGGGCTGTCATGATTTAAGGTTTATCATAGAATTTTTCTGTTTCCATATCCAGATTGTGACCGACTACGGACGTGACGCCACCCTCACCGCCATCCTGGACAAGATGGACATCTTCCTGGAGATTGTGACATTTCTAGGTTGATCACACATTTTGATTACAATGTCATCTCCGTATTTCAATTGTCCTCCTCTTTTCTCAAGATCAAAGGGCACATATTAGACTAGGGAGTTGAATACAACAGCCACGCTCATCCTCTTTGATTACTAACTACAAGTTACATATGTGTGCATGATCTGAATCTCTAATACCAAATATAATCTATCTAATCTTGCTTTCACTGTGTTTCAGTGTTGTATCCTGTTTTGTCATTTGACTTCGCTCTGACATCATCAACTGCTTCTCACAGCTATGCACTAGACAAAACCAAACAAACCATGATTCACGATGACCGTTTATGTTCCACAGAACCGTATGTGGCGTAAGACCAGGAAGCCCAACCCTGGCTCTTCCTGTGTTGGAACTGACCCCAACAGGAACTGGGATGCTGGTTTCGGAGGTATACTTTTCCTTGTCACTTGAATGTTGCAAAACACTTTATATTCAAATACAATAGATTCAGAGGTCACAAATTGAATACCAAATCTAAAGTTTTTGTCAAATAAAATGGTATTTCCTTCCCCTTGGTGAGATAGTATTTTACTGTGGAAAATGTGCATTGTTGTTGTTGTTTAGTTGGGCACAAATATTTTTTTACGATTTTGTCTCCTCTTTGGTCTTTGGTAGAGCCCGGCTCCAGTGGCAGTCCCTGCTCTGAGACTTACCGCGGACCCGAGGCTCACTCTGAGTCTGAGGTCAAGTCCATCGTGGACTTTGTAAAGTCTCACGGCAACCTGAAGGCCTTTGTGTCCATCCATTCCTACTCCCAGATGCTCCTCTACCCCTACGGTTACACCAAGACCCCATGCAAGGACCAGAGTGAACTGGTCAGTCCAGCATCCATCAACTAGTTGTCTTTGACATGTCTAGTAACAACTTGTGGCATCTGTTCCACTAGGGAGTGCCCAGCCTGCATTCTTTACCATATGTGGCCTCACCGGAGGATGGGTGATGCCAGCATGGTACTTTTACATGACTATTATTATCTTCTCACAGCACGACCTGGCCATGAAGGCTATCACTGACCTGGCTTCCCTGTACGGAACCTCCTACAGATACGGCAGTATCATCAACACCATCTGTAAGTGTCAAACACCGGCTAAACCTTTTCACTGCTTTAATGGCTCCCATCCCATGCCATTCCAATGTGGTCCAGCATGTTCTGTCAACATGAGCACACCCCATCTGTATAATATAACCAAAGTCATTACAATATTCTTAGCTTAGGGTTTGTATACTCGTACATACTCCGTGAAATAAATACAGAAACGATTGTCTATTCTCTTCTTTCTTGTCATTTTCAGACCAGGCTAGTGGTACCACTGTTGACTGGACCTACAACCAGGGCATCAAGTACTCCTACACCTTCGAGCTGAGAGACACCGGTCGCTATGGTTTCATCCTGCCAGCCAATCAGATCCTCCCTACATGCCAAGGAGACTTGGCTGGCTCTGATGGCCATCATGGAGCACACCAAGGACAACACCAACTAGAGGGGTCACCATGACAATCTACTGGACGCTGTGGATCCACTAAGGCTGTTTACAGGCCACAAACAGAGCAATAAAATTAAACTGTTATACCTGATTTTGTCTTCTATTTCATTTTACTTGATGTGACGTCGAAATTAAGCAAAGAGAAAGGTTGTTATGGTTGAAGGTCTTAACATAGTCATTATAATGTATTACAATAAAAAAGAACACTAGTCCATAGAGAGTACAGCATTCAATTTCAACATTTGACACTTTTTAAAGTAAGGATAACAACTGTATTTTGTATTCTTCATATTCCCAATTCAATGAACTGCTACTGGACAACTTAGTGATTCCAACAATGAAAAATGTAAAGTTAATATGTTGTATAATTGTGGGTCGCATAAGTTGTTTATGTGTATCTGTCACATAGGGTGCCCATGCCAGAAAACTGGCTATGGTCTTCCCAATGAAAATAAGCATCCTTTGGGTGTGGGAAATATGGACGTGGCAAATATTTATAGGGAGTGATGTGACATATAAAGCGGTTTTGGTGTCTCTCTATCTCTAAGGCTTGTGGCCTTTCAAATACCTAAAGAGGTACAGCAGGGTTGCCCAGGTCATGTGCTTTAGAAGGGTAATTGGTGTGATTAACCCATTGGAAACCCATTTCACCTAGTTGAATGTACATGTATGGTGGTTTGTATTAGTTCGCTTGTTAGATAAACTGCAAATAATCTGTGACAGATGTATGTCTTTAAAGGAGACATGTCGGACATGTGGGATGCTGTTTGATGTAAGTCTTAAATCTGTGTTTACACAGGCAGACCAATTCTGATCTTTTGCCCAATTATGGGCAAAATAACTGGTCTCATTGATGAAAATACCAATTATGAGTGGGAAAAGATCTGAATTGGGCTGCCTGTGTAAACGCAGCCTTTGTTGACTTATTCCTCATCACCTTATTTTGTTTCATGTGAGCATACAGTATATGCTCAAATAGACTCTCTGACTCAGTTCTCAAAAAGGGTTGCGGCAACCCTTTGGGTCATAACGTTTACAGTGTAGAGATACAAACACTGGAACGGGAGGATAAAAACTAGAAAATCTGGTCTGTCCATTTTTATTCAACTTCTGAGAATCTGCTCCACAAATACACACCATCAGTGTTACATCAGAGTAAGTGTGGGAAACAGAACAGAAGGAGAAAACACCTGAAGAAGAAAACATCAACTTACTAACCAAGGTCAAAAGTGCTGGGCAGGGTGTGTGACTCTGACTGGCTTTACTGTATTAGGTACGATGAAGGGGCTGCTCATCTTTGCTGCGCTGTCTGTGGCCGTTATCGGCAAGGAAACCTTTGAGGGGTGAGTGATCATCAAACAGTACTGAAAAGAAAGCACTTTGTGACAACTGCTGATGTAAAAAGGGCTTTATAAATACATTTGATTGATTGACTGGTTGATTGACTGATTAAATGATTGAAACGTGTTTGGTACAGCAGTGGTTGCTGAGCAGAGGGTAATGACATGATTGTCGGAAATTGATTAAACACCCTTTCTCTTTTTATAAGATTCTCCCATCTCTTTATTAGAATTATTAGGGAATTCTCCCATCTCTTTATTAGAATTATTAGGGAATTCTCCCATCTCTTTATTAGAATTATTAGGGACGATAACATCGTTGTAATATCTTTACAGGCACCAGGTGCTTCGTATCACTGGGAAGGATACATTCCAGCACTCTCTCCTGAAGGAAATGGCTGAGATGGAACATCTCCAGGTTGGGCATGATAACAGTGATCATCCTATGAGATAATGTGATTAATGTACTTCTTATAAATAAATACGAATTTCAGAGGAAAACAATCATAGAACAGAACAGACTCCCTCATACTGTATAATGCATATTCAGTCAATTTTCTATTTTCCCTTGTGTTCACCTGCATGTTCCTTTCCTCCTTTCTCTCTCCTCCCTCCTCCCTCCTCTCTCCTCCCTCCTCTCTCCAAGCTGGATGTGTGGATGGAGCCCACTGACCTCTCCACTCCTGTGGACATCAGAGTTCCCTTCACCAGCCTGCAGACTGTCAAGGCCTTCCTGGAGACTGAAGACATCCCGTACTCCGTTATGATCAAGGACCTGCAGGTAAAGTAGGACACCTTTCTCATCTGGGGAGGAAAGAGAGCTCATCTGCCTCTCTTCAGTCATTATTATTCTTAAAGTAATACGTGGACAGACTATGGTGCCACCAAAGTTATCCCCCTGAGATCTAATCATCCCTGAAAGAACCAAGGAGAGCGATCAGCAAAATGAAACCTTTTGCCCCTTGTCTCTCAGGTTATGTTGGACAAGGAGAAGGAGCAGAGGCTGATTGCTGCACGAGCCGCTGAGCCCAGAACCACAGATGACTACAACTACAGCAACTACCACAGCGGGGACGAGGTCAGTACCCAATAACACAGTCAGGACAGCCTGTTCTTCCTTAGCAGCTATTATAACGTCTGCCATAACACTGTCACAACAATGATATCAGGCCTGTTTTAAAACTCCAGTCCTCAGAGCTCTTTTGTTCAAATGAAAGATTATTTCTCTCTCACTCTCTCTCTCTCTATCTCTTTCTCTCTCGCTCTCTCTCTCTCCAGATCTACAGTTTCCAGGACATGCTGGTGGCTGAGAACCCCAACCTGGTCAGCAAGATCGTGATTGGTCAGAGCTATGAGGGCCGCCCTCTGAATGTGCTCAAAGTAAGTAATCCGTTTTCAATACTTTTTTGGTGTTTTAAGATTCTCATGGATTTTCTTTGCAACTGAAAAAGTTAATACTCCCCTTCTCTCTCACATAGTTTAGCACTGGTGGCACCAACCGTCGTGGCATCTGGATTAACACTGGAATCCACTCCAGAGAATGGATCACTCAGGCTAGTGGCACCTGGTTCGCCAAGAAGGTGATCATTTTCTAGTCTCGTTCCTTCCAGTCAGAGCCTCTGGGTTGGATTTCCCACATGCTCATGAGTCACAATGCAAACTCCAGTTTGCTGCTAAGAATAGCAAATATAGTGTAATGAAGGCTATAGGGTCATTGCAATATATTTGTTATGAAGGCTAGGGGGTCATTAGAGTATATTTGCTATGCTTAAAAGCAAACTGGAGTTTGGCTTGTAACTCATGTAGAGGAATCCAACCCCAGGGTGCCTCATGAAGGGAGTTAAGTCTCTTTGTATCCATCTTGGGCAATTCCGGTTCTGAATACCCATGGGGACGTTCCTACTCCCACAGGTTGCTACATTGGTGTCAAAAGTGGCGCTCCCATGAGCCCAGGTATTCTCTGTTCAGTATGATAATGTGCATAGATCTTTCTGTTTCAATGACCACCAGATTGTGACTGACTACGGACGTGACGCCACACTCACTGCCATTCTGGACAACATGGATATCTTCCTGGAGATTGTGACCAACCCAGATGGCTACTACTACACCCACAATACTGTGAGTTCCTAACATCAGAAATGGGTCTTTATTATTACTAAGCCATCCACTAATCCTCTGTAATGGCAGATCTGATGCTTCATTCATTCATTCCGTGTCAGCTAGAGTGAATGCGCATGGAGTCTTACCAAACCATTGAATATGTTGACCTTGCATGTTCCACAGAACCGTATGTGGCGTAAGAGCAGGAAGCCCAACCCTGGCTCTTCCTGTGATGGAACTGACCTCAACAGGAACTGGGATGCTGGTTTTGGAAGTAAGCTATGTCTTCTATCGGCTTCTTGAACGATGCTCAACACATTCTGTTTAAAATTGCATAAACTGTCCACGAAAAAGTTTGTCTTACTACAGCCTTTCCCAAACCCGGTCCTGGGGACCCCAAGGGGTGCAATTTAGTTTTTTGCCCTAGCACTACACAACTGATTCAAATTATCAACTCATCATCAAGCTTTGATTATTTGAAACAGTTGTGTAGTGTTCGGGGCAAAAAAAACTAAATGTGCACCCCTTGGGGTCCCCAGGATGCTGCCTTATTTAATTGTCAGGATTAAATACGTTGTTGTGTTTTTTTGTTGTTGAGAAAATGATCTCCTCCCCTATGGTGACTTACAGTTTCAAAGGAAGTGTGTCAATGTTGTGGCTGGACTGTCCCTGGCGTGATGTTGGTTGTATTCCACTCTGTTTCCCTAGCCGCCGGCTCTAGCAGTAACCCATGCGATCAGACTTACCGCGGGCCCAAGGCTCACTCGGAGTCTGAGGTCAAGTCCATCGTGGACTTTGTCAAGTCTCATGGCAACCTGAAGGCCTTCATCGACATCCACAGCTACTCCCAGAGGATCATGTACCCCTATGGCTACACTGCAACCCCCTGCAAGGACCAGAGAGAACTGGTGAGTCTGGCAGAGACAGTCTTCCTACCTTCCCTTGACCGTTAGCCATGTCTCAGTCATTTGTCTTTTGTTTGTGAGGCAATAATGCACTTTATATCATCAAACAGGGTACAACTGGTTTTGCTTAAGGCCTTTGACAGGTCAATTCAAGGTCAAGCTCAGTATACACAAAAAGGAAACGTTTTGCCATCGAACATGACCTTAAATTGTCAAAAGCTGTACAGGTCTCTTGACGTTATTTTACATTTCACCCACAGCACGACCTGGCTAGGAAGGCCATCACTGACCTGGCTACCCTGTATGGAACCTCCTACAGATACGGCAGCGTTATGACCACCATATGTAAGTGACAGGCCACTCACTTTCACAAAAAATACATGAAAGGCTACTTCTTAGGCTCAATACAGCCACAACAAGGTCTAATACAGGAACAACGTATACAAATAATGTGCTTATCTTCCATTAGACCGAGCCAGTGGCATCACTATTGACTGGTCCTACAACCAAGGCATCAAATACTCCTACACCTTCGAGCTGAGAGACACTGGTCGCTATGGTTTCATCCTGCCAGCCAATCAGATCCTTCCTACAGCCAAGGAGGCTTGGCTGGCTCTGATGGCCATCATGGAGCACACCAAGGACAACACCAACTAGAGGGGTCACCATGACAATCTACAATTGTGTATATTTATATATATATATCTCTATGATACGATCATGTGAACGCCTGTGTAAAACAAAGTTATGCTTGTCTGTACTGTTGTTGATATTCAGTATCTAGCTCAAGCTGATGATACCATGAAGTCCACAAGAGTGCACTAGAAATCATGTCAGTAAAATGGACCAATGAATGAATACGTGAGACCTTCGGTCTTCTGTTGTCTAGTTCATTTAATTCACGTTTTCAAACACTACGTGACATAAAAAAGGCTCAACAAAATGACCAGTTCACATCAGAATATACATTGTGCGTTTTATTTAATATAAAAAAACTAAACTGAGATCAACCAGTTTAATGGATGGAGCGTAATGGACAGAGCTAATGTGTTTATTGTCAGGAGTTGAAATGACAGGCTTCTTGCATCTGGTTCGCACACACAAACAGGCCAGACTTCAGCCTCAGAAAGGTATTGCACTCCTCAAAAGCCCACTTTTTACAGTAAATGCACTTTTTAAAAAGACCCTGCAATTTATCTTCACCTCAAAAATAGCCAACAAAGAAAATACAACAAAGTTTACAACATCATAAAGGACAAATACTGTTTCACATTTTCACGTGGATCGGACGTATCAAGGTGCTCCTCTTGGGGTAACCATGACTACCATCCCATAATGCCCTCCTCCACCATGATGATGCTTCATCATAGGCTGCATGACATATGCCTTCACCAAATCTTATAAGAACACACACACAAACATGTAGTGCTTCTGAGCCTCTCACTTCATATTACATGTGGTCCTCTGTAGCTCAGCTGGTAGAGCACGGCGCTTGTGACGCCAGGGTAGTGGGTTCGATCCCCGGGACCACCCATACACAAACATTTATGCACGCATGACTGTAAGTTGCTTTGGATAAAAGCGTCTGCTAAATGGCATATTATTATATTATCCCAATTTTCCAAAGGCTATTCCCCTTAGACAGAGAAAACATATCACATCAAAAATAGCACATCTTCTTTCACCGTTTAAAATAGAGAACGCACCACGTACCAAATAATTAGCGTTTTCATATGTATACTTTTGTACAAAGGCATTTAGATGATCTGTGATACATAATACATGATCCATATAGCGTTCTATTAATATTTTCTGAGAAGGCCCTGCACAACAATCATCACTTCTGGTTATTTGGAACGTACAACAAAGCATATGGGACATAATTTTTGTACCGTGGTACCAAGTGAAATGACCTTAAGTTAATGAGGGTTGATGAAGGAGATCGACAAGATCAATGACTGGAATGGCTGATTGCTAAAAACCAATGACAGACATCACACGCAGATAGACAGAGCCAGAGCGTGAAAGGAACACAAGTAATTTTAGGAAAGCAACATCTGCGAGGTAACGATAATTGAGAGCAAAGCAAATCCATAAATTCTCACCTTACGATCACTAATGACATTTTTTATATTCATTGAGCAACAAATTCAAATCAACACACCAATTCCTATTATCCTACAATAAAGCAGAGCCTTTTTACAGGCCCAAAGGCATAAGGCAGAGCTGCACAACTCTGGTCCTCGAGGACCTAATTACACAAGGGAGACCAGGTATGTGTATTGACTGGGCTGCTAATGAAGATGACAATCAATCGAGATTATTAGGCGATTATTATAAATCCCAGGGTGAGGCGAAACCCAGGAGGATTTGGGCCCTTGAGAACTAGAGTTGGGCACCCCTGGGGGGGGGGGGGGGGGGCATAGTTGGGGGTTTGGTGGGTGCCCCTTTCACAGAAGGGCACATGGGTGGTGGTAGTGAAATAAGTAGACTTTATTTGGGTTAAGGCTGAGGGTTATTTCCACGGTCGGCTGCTCTGGGATCTGGCGGTTTCAGAGCCGGCCAGAGAGGATGTACGTACACTGCGAGCGCTGGACGCTTTGGACTGGGCACTGCTGGTGGACATGCGGCTGCTGAGACGGCCTGGAAAACACACACACACAGAACATAGAGACAGTCACACATCTATCAAAAATAACAGTAAGCTTTCAGAAAATCATTCTCTATGTCATTTCCAAGGGTGGCCAACAATAGGAGCTAATGGGGTGTTTAGGGCTGGAACAAAAGCCTACACACCCCAACAGGGCTGGCTCCAGGCATAACTGGTTGCTTAGGAATTGTAGAATACTTGGTTATGCATCATACAGCAGTTTCTCTTGTTATGTCAGTCACTAAATTAGCCATGTCAGCTAACAATTTTTTGATTGGTAGTTAGTCTAGCCAGCGATCTAAACTTGTAGCAATAATGGCCAAATACAGACCGGGCACGCAGGGCACGAGCCAAGGGCCCTGACCTCCAGGGGCCCCCCATTGATTTTGTTAGTCATTCTCACTCATATACCATATTACAAGGCATAAGTCATGGCAAAATGTGTAGAATTGCAGGAAATTAGCTGTAAAACGTACATTTCTCAAATCTTGCTTAGGACTCCCAAAACACTAGAGCCATCCCAGCTGTTTACTTTTTCTACATGTTATCACCATCTACTGGTAGGTTGTTGTTACTGCCCAATGCAACAGATCAGGGAGTGACGCTTTCCTGTTGGAGTCAGTTCGCTGTTAGTGTGGCCTTCCCATTGGAGTCTAAATGGTCTTTGCTGTGAGCCTGTTAGCTGTTAAATGTGCCTTACTGTTGGTGTCCGAGGGAACGAGCATCTCCTCCAAGTGTGCCTGGATGTTGGCCATGTCGTCTGAGGTGAACCTCCACTTCCTGTCGGCTGGCATGAACACCTGTCTGTGGGTGTAGCGCTTCCTGCCTGCTGTCGCCGTGGGAGACGGGAGGCACGACACTGGGATGGTGCCTGTTGTCATCCCCTCTGGAAACTTCTGAGCAATCACCTTCAGGCCTGGGGGGGGGGGGTGATAGTCAGTGAGTTTAACATTGCTTTAAATGGGAGTGTGATATTGCACTGATTCCAAAGCTTTCACTTGAGCTATTAATTGCCCACAATACATCATCAACTGACCTCCAGATAGCATGAAGAGGTTCTCGAAGCCCCGCTCACACATGGCGGTGGCTGCCTGGGCAGCCACCCTCTCATCCTCATCATATACGATTATGATCTTCCCCAAAACATTTTTCTACATAGGGTCAAGGTTAAGGGGATCACAGTACAACAGTGAGGCAAGCAAATGAATATTCAAACCTGTACAGTATATGGATATTTTACTAGTGTGTATAGACCCATTTCAGATTGCCTGATAATGTGAGTTATGGAATAATAATACAGTGTTATTTGTTTTGGTGGAAGGATACATAATCCAGCACCTCCTTGGTGTAGGGATTCATTGTTCTTGAGAGGGTTGCGATGGGGTAACTGTATGCTGAGGATTTTTTTTGGAGATGTCACAAATATGTACAGTATTACATTGGGGTGAAAAGAATTCCATTAAATTATATTTCTAGAGTCAGAATTCTATGTCTGGAATTCTATTTCTATGGTCAGGATTCTATTAATTGTACTTCTATGGTCTCCCTACCGCTGATGATGTGACACTGGTCGTACTGCTCTCTGTCCCTGACGTCCAGCAGCAGGTAGGGGCAGTCTGGGATAGGGTCCGTCTGGAAGCCGAGGGCTGGACACAGTTGTCAGAGTCACTGTCTTCTGACCGTTCTTATCCAGGTCCAGCTCTCCCACTCCGCTTATTACACTGTAGTGAGAGTTCAAAGTGACAGGTTATACAGAAAAAGTGTCCCTGACCCGTGTATGTGAAAAAACGCCAAAAACGCAAAATATTGTGAGAATTGTATAACTTTCATTTTATAATGTCTGTGACATTGCAATCATTAGTTACAGTATTCCAAATGGAACTGAGCTCAACTCTGTGGAATGCCAACTCTGTCACCTTCGCCAGGCTGTGGAGGTTTAGCTTGCCGTTGTACTGCCCTACTCCCCCCAAGTGAAGGTGATCTAATGCCCTGCTTTTAGGGAGGCCCCAGCTTGGGCCCCCACTGAGGCGATAGAGTTACAGTATTCTGTTCTAGTGAGGGGGCAAGGAGCTTGGGCCCCAGGGAAAAGGCTGCTACACAATGAAGGTGTGGCAGGGTTGTCAGGGGGAGAAAACTCTGCTGGGATATTCAGATAGATGTGTGGGTTGAATGCTGAGAGGGATAGAGTTACAGCTATGCCTGGGGTTATGGGTTGTGGTTATGGGTTGTGGTTATGTATATTGTGGTTATGTATGTTGTGGTTATGTATGTTGTGGTTATGTGTTGTGGTTATGTATGTTGTGGTTATGTATGTTGTGGTTATGGGTGTTGTGGTTATGTATGTGGGCTTATAGTTGTGCAAGTGTGAGCGAGACTATGCATCAGTGGAGGTCATATTGAGAACAGGTGTGTGAGTCGTTGTTGGGGAAAATGGAAAATCCTGGTGTGTGTGTGTGTGATGCTGTTCAAAGTGGGGTGCTGAGCGTTACCTTTGAAGCGTGGACCTGGGGGAGTAGCCAGCGTCCCCCGCGTCATTGTTGTTGTCGATGAACTGAGCGGGCGTGGGCGTGGGCAGGGGGGAACTGTTGGTCTGCTCAGACAGACGCTCCATGTCGGCTTCAGGTGGAAATAAAGCATAGAGATGTTCCTGTACAGTTAAAGTACTGCCTCAATGTTCATTAAAACCAACGTTAAGGCAACTGCAAGGCACTACGGAGGGTTGTGAGTAAGGCCCAGTCCATCACTGGGGCCGTGCTTCCTGCCATCCAGGACCTCTATAGCAGGCGGTGTCCGAGGAAGCCCCAAAAATGGTCAAAGACTACAGCCACCCAAGCCATTGACTGTTCTCTCTGCTACCGCACGGCAAGCGGTACCAGTGCACCAAGTCTGGAACCAACAGGACCCTGAACAGCTTCTATCCCCAAATAAGACTGCTAAATAGCTAATCAAATGGCTACCCGCTGCTGCTGCTACTGTCTATTATCTATCCTGTTGCCTAGTGACTTTACCCCTACCTATATGTACTGTACATAGCTACCTCAATTACTTCATATCCCTGCACATCGACTCAGTACTGGTGTCACTATTTCCATTTTATATCTTTAACTCTGCATGGTTGAAAAAGGTCCCGTAAGTAAGCATTCACTGCTAATTTACGCCGGTTGTTTACGAATAACATTTTGATTTGACTGACAGAGCAGATGGGAATTCTCTGTTAATTTAAATGTAAACTGGGGCTCCAGATCAAATCGATAATGGTGCAAAACATAAATAGTGCCCTATTTGTCAAAGACCAAATCTTCTTACCTTCCAGCCTTGGTGTTTCGCCATCACTCATACTTTCGTTTAGGTCCGAAACTGATGCTACCTGAATTACCTGATTAAAAAAATTATAAGATCAACAAGTGATTGAATAACATGTAGGCTACTTCCACAAAGCAGATGCAACTGAGAATAAAGAACATACAAGTATGTCTTTGCCATCACTGACCTAATAATATGTTTAACTCACCAACTGTGCAAATGTTGTAACTTTAAGCCTTTTGAAGAGTTCATCCTTTCTGTACCTGTAATCTAATCAAACAGATTATCAGTTTCTCTCAAAATAGTGAGAGAACAAAAGACATGGAGAAACCCTGAGGATTTTCTCTTACAACTACAAGTACCAAGTCAATCTCTACAGACACCAGTCAATCTCAGGCCCCTCACCAGTCAATCTCACCTTGGTCATGCATGTCAGCCCTTTGCTCATCCTCCCCCTGTCCCAACATATCACTAAATCTCAACTCTACTGTGTCCATCTCCATAACGTTACTGCTCTGGGAGAGATGGTAAGACACCTGTGCTCAATACTGGCTGCTCAGCCCTCTTTTAACATTGGCACTCAGAGTGACCCAAGGTGTGACCCTGACTATCACACCATCCTCTCTCTCTGTCAAAAGCCCCTGTTGGCACCCGCACAATGTAGCCTAATACCTCCTACATCAGCCCTGACAGAGAAATTATTGTGAACAACAACACAATCGCCCACTGCCGAACGAAGGAATCAGTGTTGCTTATCCCTGAGAAATCGGAAAAGCCAGAAACAAAATGGCCACAGCAGACAAAGTCCTTATTCACTCAGGTAGCCCCGGTCCCCACGTTGTAAAATATCAGTAGGACAGGGCTTCTCCGGTTTACCCCTGGAAGTGCATGAACTGAAACACCAATCAGAACCTGATAAGTCGACCACAACTGTTCTTCAAGACAGAAAATGCCTAGTTGCCCCCCCCCCCCAACTCAAGTAGCCCAACACTGTCCACTGTTCCTTGTTTAAGTAAAAGGGACAAAATGCAGGTACATCTGTTGAATAACAACTCTCAAGGGACCCACTGGACAAAGACATCATTTCAACATCTAGTTTTGATTTACATTTGATTGAGTTGTCAACCAACTTGAATTAAATGTAAAATTAACAAAACATTTCACCATGTTATTGGATTTAGGTTAAAAGTTGGCTGTAAAAAATGACTTTTTGCAAATCCAATCAGTTTCCCACATTGAGTCAACATCATCGCATTGAATTCTTTTGTTGAAATTATGTGGAAACACAAACAGTTTTTGCCCAGTGGGGAGTTGAGTGATGAAGAGTGTGGGCGGACTGGAGCGCTGACTACGTCGAGTCGCTGTCAGTCGATACTTGTAAAAATGTAAAATCTTAAACCCCTACAGTGTACCTATGTTTGTTTTGTGTAAAGTCAGGCCTTCCTTTGTTTGCTGAAATGCATACTTTTTAATACAACTTTTGTGAAATACAACCACCGACAGCTCCAACGTTTCCGTTGCTCTAAAAATGGCACCAAAACTTTGGATAAAAAAGTATGGATTTCAGCAAACTAAGAAAGGCCAGACTTTACACAGGACAAACATAGGTACAAGGTAATATTTTTTATGTTTACAAGTATCGACTGACAGCGACTCGATGTAGTGGGAACTCCAGTCCGCCCACACTTGTTGACACTCAAGAGTTGAGGTTTCTTAACTGCCCTGACCCAATCTCAGACGTCTGTAATAAAATGCAACTTACTTTTCTTTATCTCCTCAAGCCTCTCCACATACTTCGTCAGGCTGCATCCTATAAACGACAACAGGTTTCACAACATTGACGATAAGCAAAGATTCTAAAACTCAGCAAAAAAAGAAACGTCCCTTTTTCAGGAACCTCTTTCAAAGATAATTTGTAAAAATCCAAACAACTTCACAGATCTTCATTGTAAAGGGTTTAAACACTGTTTCCCATGCTTGTTCAATGAACCATGAACAATTAATGAACGTGCACCTGTGGAACGGTCATTAAGACACTAACAGCTTACAGACGGTAGGCAATTAAGGTCACAGTTATGAAAACTTAGGACACTAAAGAGGCCTTTTGACTGACTCTGAAAAACACCAAAAGAAAGATGCCCAGGGTCCCTGCTCATCTGCGTGAACGGGCCTTAGGCATGCTGCAAGGAGGCATGAGGACTGCAGATGTGGCCAGGGCAATAAATTGCAATGTCCGTACTGTGAGACGCCTAAACAGCGCTACAGGGAGACAGGACGGCCAGCTGATTGTCCTCGCAGTGGCAGACCACATGTAACAACACCTGCACAGGATCGGTACATCCAAACATCACACCTGTGGGACAGGTACAGGATGGCAACAACAACTGCCCGAGTTACACCAGGAACGCACAATCCGTCCATCAGTGCTCAGACTGTCCGCAATAGGCTGAGAGAGGCTGGACTGAGGGCTTGTAGGCCTGTTGTAAGGCAGGTCCTCACCAGAAATCACCGGCAACAAAGTCGCCTATGGGCACAAACCCACCGTTGCTGGACGGGACTGGCAAAAAGTGCTCTTCACTGACGAGTCGGGGTTTGTCTCACCAGGGGTGATGGTCGGATTCGCGTTTATCGTCGAAGGAATGAGAATTACACCTAGGCCTGTACTCTGGAGCGGGATCGATTTGGAGGTGGAGGGTCCGTCATGGTCAGGGGCGGTGTGTCACAGCATCATCGGACTGAGCTTGTTGTCATTGCAGGCAATCTCAACGCTGTGCGTTACAGGGAAGACATCCTCCTCCCTCATGTGGTACCCTTCCTGCAGGCTCATCCTGACATGACCCTCCAGCATGACAATGCCTCCAGCCATACTGCTCGTTCTGTGCATTATTTCCTGCAAGACGGGAAGGTCAGTGTTCTGCCATGGCCAGCGAAGAGCCCGGATCTCAATCCCATTGAGCACGTCTGGGACCTGTTGTATCGGAGGGTGAGGGCTAGGGCCATTCCCCCCCAGAAATGTCCAGGAACTTGCAGGTGCCTTGGTGGAAGATCAAATCTGGTGCAGTCCATGAGGAGGAGATGCACTGCAGTACTTAATGCAGCTGGTGGCCACACCAGATACTGACTGTTACTTTTGACCCCCCCTTTGTTCAGGGACACATTTTACAATTTATGTTAGTCACATGTCTGTGGAACTTGTTCCGTTTATGTCTCAGTTGTTGAATCTTATGTTCATACAAATATTTATGCATGTTAAGTTTGCTGAAAATAAACACAGTTGACAGTGAGAGGACGTTTCTTTTTTTGCTAAATTTATATACATCAATACAATATACTGATAAATATGTCAATAAATATGATGCATTGCTGAGTCATTTGGCACTGGTAGCCAAGGCTATAACACTTGAATAACCTGAGTTGTGGAATAATACCTGTGTCCAGCCTTGTCCTCACATGTTGATATTTGGGGTTCTGAGGTATTCTCCTTTTCATGTACTGTGAGATTGGGAATACACAAAAAAACGGTGATTTGCTGTGCTGTCATGGTAGCTACTTCCTTTTTTACCAAGCTGTAGAAAACATTAGGCACATTACATTACCCATGGAGATCACTGGAGAAATCCTGCATAAAGGCCTAGCTAACTCTAGTTAGCAATGTCTGCCACTGGACAAAGCAGTCCTCTACTACAGCAGCTGAACTGTTCTGTCATAGTCATAACAAAGATTCCTTGTTTTATCTGTGGTCAAACCCTTCCATGTTTAGTACATGTTTATGAAGGGTGTCTGTCAAGTCAACAAAGCAAACGACCTAACGTTAGCTAATTAAAAATACACGTTAGCTAGCTAATTTGATGACTGAAGATCTAGCTAGCTATGATAGCAAAAATAGTTATGTAACATTTTCCTCAATCAACTACTGTAGCTAGCTAATATCGTTACACACAACAGAAGGGGTTAACGTTACTGCGCAACAGAAACACTGCTGGCTTGGCAATGTCTTGATAGCTAACAGTACCATTGCCACACACCAAACTGGGCTGTTAAATGTAAAACTCTCTAAAACGTGGACGATAAATAATCGTGTTAGCTAGCTAGCTATATTTACCTCCGTGTTGCCGATGCTGCTCTTGGTCGACATATTTTCAAACGGAATACAGAATAACCAAACACAAAGTTCCAAGTTTAACAAACTTGGCGCTGATTGAGCCGAGAGCGATCATTACCCAATCAATGACGCTGTTTTAACCATGTAGGTTTCTACCGTTCCATAGTTTGATGTAGTTGCTTAGCAGCAGAATACGCTTAGCTCCTCCCCGGTTCTTTCTTTTTCTTGCGGCTGTTGGCCTTGTAGATGTGCGGCATTTCTCTCCTAAATCTAGAGTTGCTAGTTCTTATTATAGCTCTTGCTAGTAGCAATTAATTAACAACAACTTCACTCATATTTAACTGATTTAACCCAGGCTTCTGCGGTATGGATTAACGTTAACCGAACGAGCCAAACTAGTGTCTGTATTTTGATAAAAAATTAGCTGATCAGCGTATCCGCACTCGACTAGCAAAGTCTGAGGAAGTGGGTGTGCTCTCTGTTTTGTAATTTGACAGACAGATGGAAGTCATGAGTTGGTTGCACCAACTTTCCCCGCTAATCTTTCAAAAAGCAAATGCACCGCAAATTTAAGGATTATCGAAATCAATGCATTAAATGGCATCAGTTATGGTAAATGTGCTGTTTACTTTGGGATTATATCGGTGACGCGAGCTAACTAAAGCTTCACTGCCCTTCGGATAAGCATGCTAGCTAGTTAGCTAAATTAGCTGAACGGTAGTTAGCTAATAGGATTTAGCTAGCTAGCTAGTTTCTCATCTTGGTTGTTAGATAGCCAGTATTGTCATGTCATCAACCGACAGCCGAGTTTATCCAGAGCTTTAATGTGAAATTACTCAAAAAAGTGACTTGCAGTAGCTAATTAATTTGGCAAACATTTAGAAAGAACACTGATTGTCTGTAATGCATAGAAAATTCATTGACAAGAAGTGAAGTCACATTCAAAAGTAGTTTCCCTAAACCTATAGCATGCAAACTCAACCTAACTTGTACATTTAGCTAACACAATTTTAGTGGTATGGTATTCAATGTTTTCTCATCTTTGGCATGACAGCCATACCTGACCCTGTGGTGAACTCTGTCATTGCAGGAGGACCCCACCCTCGAGCGACACTTCAAGGGCCACAAAGATGCTGTCACCTGTTCAGACTTCAATTCCAACCACAAACAGCTGGGTATATATCCACAATACACCACAAATTCATATTGCATCATATTAGCCTACTACCCAAGCTGTTTCTGCTCCCTTGCCAACTCCTTATCCAATTATCATGTTTGGCTTCACAATGAAAGCAATGAGTTGGCAAGAGCACAAACAGATCTGGGACCAGGCTAGTTTTAACAATCTGGAAATGTATATAATTCATTCTCATCTCATCATGTTCATTGTGTCTCCATCCATGTTCCTCTCAGCATCAGGGTCTGCAGATAAGACCCTGATGATTTGGAATCTGAACCCTAAGGCCAGGGCGTTCCGGTTTGTTGGACACAAAGATGTCATCACAGGGATCCAGTTCTCCCCTGCAGGAGATCTGGTCGTCTCTGCGTCCCGGGACAAGACTGTACGGCTGTGGACGCCCAGCATGTGAGTGAAGAGAAAACCACCTGATATCCCGGGGATCGAACTCACTATCCTGGCGTTGCAAGAGCCATGTTCTACCAACTGAGCTACAGAGAACCACACCCACACCTGGCTTTAGACGACACATTCATGCAGTCTCTGGCAGTTGTCATTAAGATCACAACACCCTTCAGCTAGTGCCTAGACTATCCAACTTCATTGACATTTGAACAACCTGAGATATTGTATTCTGGAGCTAGCCTACCTAACTTTAATGTCTCCTTGCACAACATTGAACATTACCTGCTAGATTCACCTTAGTGCATTGCTGTTAGATGTTTGTTACCCACATTTCCCTCTCTGAGCACCTGTCTCTTTCTTTCCTGTGTTTTTCAGTAAAGGAGAGTCGATGGTGTTCAAAGCCCACACGGCTACAGTACGCAGTGTCAACTTTTCTCACGACGGCCAGAGGCTGGTGACGGCGTCGGACGACAAGTCTGTCAAGGTGTGGAGCGTCCACAGACAACGTTTTGTCTACTCACTCAACCAGCACACCAACTGGGTCCGCTGCGCCAGGTACTGAACCAACAACTGTGTGTATGTGTGCGTGTTTGTGGTTGGTTTACACCATAAAGTAGGGCTGTAACGATTCACCGATATGCATCGGTCCCCAGTTCAAGATATGAGTGAGCGCATCGGTCTGTGGGATCCCAAACCGATCTAAATGTAGCAAGCATCGGTCAGAAAATCGATTCAATCGTTACGAATTTCCGGTTCACTAAAATGTTTTAAAATACTTTATTATTTTGTGACAACTGTGTCCTCTCCTTCAGTATTGAACTAAGCATGCAATTATGTTGACAGTATTGATTTACAAGTCATTTTGCATGCCGAACAACCCCAAGCAATATCAGTAGCCTAGTCAAATTGCGCGCTGAGTGCAGCTTCGCACGCTGACCAACGGCCTATTCCTGATCTGGCACATCTGCACGTCACCTTCAGCATTCAAAAGTTTGTAAAATGGCTTTAGATGTTTATTTAGTCACATGCACAGGGTCGCAAATGTAGTTGCAGTGTACAGTGAAATTCTTGAGCTCCGAGCTCCAACATTGGTGAGAATTAAACAATAAAAAAGTAATAATATAGGAAGTCCGGGGGAGCAGGTGGGGGGACAGGGCGAGCAGGTAGCTGACTAGTGGTGGCTATTCAGCATCCTGATGGTCTGGGGGTATAAGCTGTTGGCCAGTCTGTTAGTTTTAGCCATGATACTCCTGTACTGCCTGCGTCTGACTCATGGAAGTCCAGGCCGTGGCTTAGGTGGCTGAGGACCCTTTATTAGTTGAGTGACAACCAAGGTATTTTTATCAAATGCGCTGTTGAAAGTTGTGTTTTACCCTAATAAAAGTAGCCTAAGGTACCGGTGGGGAGACAACTCTCATCTGACTATAGGTAGGCTAAATGCTGACCGGGTCTTACATTAGATATTATTTTGATTGTTCAGATTCACAATCAGCAATAGTTTTGGTAGTTTTGCTTGAAACAATCAGTATATATGGTTATTTTTAGATGGGTAAAGTTGAAGCGGGAGAAAAAGAGAGGCTCACTCGGAGTCCATCAACTTCCAAATGGTCTAAACCATTTGGTTACGAGATGGATGAAATCCAAGTTGTGCTATACTGTATATTCATTGACTATGTCATAGCAATTTTTTAAAAGATAAATATTGATAGCTCTAACACTTTTAATCTGCAAAAATGCAAAATGCAATGCAAATGCAAAAATGACAAATGGTGGCGATTTCAGATCAAAAGTATGTGGGGAGGGGGGGTGATGTGGCCACACTGGGATTGTTGTGTGTTGTGACAAGGTATGGGTGGTATACAGAAGATAGCCCTATTTGGTAAAAGACCAAGTCCATATTATGGCAAGAACAGCTCAAATAAGCAAAGAGAAATGACAGTCCATCATTACTTTCAGACATGAAGGCCATTACAAGCTATGAAGGACAAATACTGGAGTTTTTGTGCAGGTACATCCAACTAGCTCAAAAATAATATTGCAATATTGTCAACGATACGATATATCGTCAAAAATAATATCTGTATCAATATGTAACTGTATCAATATTATTTTTCTGGTCAAAAAAATAAAAAAAAGATCACTACTGCGGCCGAAGATTGTGTTTGTATTTTGTCATTCAGGTTTTCACCTGACGGCCGTCTGATTGCATCCTGTGGTGACGACCGCACAGTGCGACTGTGGGACACCTCCACCAAACAGTGCATCAACTGCTTCACAGACTATGGAGGGTAAGAAAGATACTTATTTTTATATATTTATTGTTCATTTTCTGTGTGTATTTGATTAAGGCTATACAAAACCTGTCATTGTTTTTTCATTTGCACATTTGGCATTTGTAATAAAATAAAGTCAGATCATGTCCACGGGGGGGACAGTATGAAAAGTAAAAAAATAATGTATGCACTCACTAACTGTAAGTCGCTCTGGATAAGAGCGTCTGCTAAATGACTAAAATGTAAATGTAATGTTGATGTGACATTATGAATGTCTGTAAGGGGGAGGGGGGTTTAACCAGTGTGAAGGTTTTTCAACATGACCGCTAGGTGGTGCTGTTGTATTACATTTTTTAATGTTTGGACCCACCTGAGATGATTGACTCCTTTGATAAGTAGTACCCTATTCCCTCCACCTTCCTAGATCAGCAACATTTGTAGACTTCAACACCAGTGGCACCTGTATAGCATCCTCAGGAGCAGACAACACACTGAAGATCTGGGACATACGGACAAACAAACTGCTCCAGCATTACCAAGGTAACAAGCTTTTAAAAGGCTTAAGAATTCTACTGAATGAAAGCCTGGTTGCCAGATCTTTTTCTATTTTAGCCAGTCTGAGTGTACTGTATTAGAAACACACCTGGCAACTAAGCTTACTATATTAGAGAGCCCAGGTTGGATTTCTGCACACCTAAACCTCGGTCTTTGGTATCAGTCCACAGTGCGGGGATCAATTGCTTTTCCTTCCACCCATCTGGTAACTACCTGATCAGTGGCTCCAGTGACAGCACAGTGAAGATCCTGGACCTCCTGGAGGGACGCCTCATCTACACCCTCCACGGACACAAGGTAACGCTTAGGCCACATTTAGGACCACGCTAAGGCTGTTCTTTATGCTACAGTATGTGGACATCCCCATCTGAAAAGAACAGGAAGGCCCGCACACTGTTTATGCTCCCAATTCACTGCTTTATTCACTATGTTTCGATCCGAAATGGATCTTCGTCAGGTCAAACAGACTGAGTGCTCACATCCCAAAATATACCCATTTCATCTCACATGACCATTACGCACATGATGCATGGTGGGTGTGTAAACCATTCAATTCACTTTTGCGCATAGTCAATCATAATTAATCACAGAGGTACATATGGTCATATGGGTCCAAGTTAAAAACCTAGGCAACAGTAAAAAAAAAAAAAAAAGAGATTACGTTGGAAACTGTTGGAATATCTATTTGTAAGTCGCTCTGGATAAGAGCGTCTGCTAAATGACGTAAATGTAATGTAAATTAATACCTGCCCATATGACCATTACGTGCAGGAGGCGCGGTGGCCATAGATATAATTACAGTGACCTATTTTTTTTTTTTAACTACTTGTGTATCTCTAATAATTTGATATCAATGATTCAATACAGTGCCTTTGAAAAGTATTCAGACCCCTTGACTTTTTACACATTTTGTTACATTAAAGCCTTATTCTAAAATTTATGAAATAGTTTTTTCCCATCGTCAATCAACACACAATACCCCATAATGACAAAGCCAAAACAGGTTTTTATAAATTTTTGCCAATGTATTACAAATAAAAAACGGAAATATCACATTTACGTAAGTATTCAGACCCTTTACTCAGTACTTTGTTGAAGCACCTTTGGCAGCGATTACAGCATCAAGTCTTTTGGGGTATGACGCTACAAGCTTGGCACACCTGTATTTGGGGAGTTTCTCCCATTCTTCTCAGCAGATCCTCTCAAGCTCTGTCAGGTTGGATGGGGAGCGTCGCTGCACAGCTATTTTCAGGTCTCTCCAGAGATGTTTGATCGGGTTCAAGTCCGGGCTCTTGCTGGGCCACTCAAGGACATTCGGAGACTTGTCCCGAAGCCACTCCTGCGTTGTCTTAGCTGTGTGCTTAGGGTCATTGTCCAGTTGGAAGGTGAACCTTCGCCCCAGTCTGAGGTCCTGAGCGCTCTGAAGCAGGTTTTCATCAAGTATCTCTCTGTACTTTGCTCCGTTCATCTTTCCCTCGATCCTGACTAGTCTCCCAGTCCCTGTCGCTGAAAAACATCCCCACAGCATGACGCTGTCACCACCATGCTTCACTGTAGGGATGGTGCCAGGTTTCCTCCAGACATGACGCTTGGCATTCAGGCCAGAGAGTTCAATCTCGGTTTCATCAGACCAGAGAATCTTGTTTATCATGGTCCGAGAGTCCTTTAGGTGCCTTTTGGCCAACTCCAAGCGGGCTGTCATGTGCCTTTTACTGAGGAGTGGCTTCCGTCTGGCCAATCTACCATAAAGGCCTGAATGGTGGAGTGCCGCAGAGACGGTTGTCCTTCTGGAAGTTTCTCCCATCTCCACAGAGGAACTCTGGAGCTCTGTCAGAGTGACCATCGGGTTCTTGGTCACCTCCCTGACCAAGGCCCTTCTCCCCCGATTGCTCAGTTTGGCCGGTTGGCCAGCTCTAGGAAGAGTCTTGGTGGTTCTCAAACTTCTTCCATTTAAGAATGATGGAGGCCACTGTGTTCTTGGGGACCTTCAATGCTGCAGACATTTTTCGGTACCCTTCCCCAGATCTGTGCCTCGACACAATCCTGTCTCGGAGCTCTACGGACAATTTTCAATGTCTGAAAACCTGTTTTCGCTTTGTCATTATGGGGCATTGTGTGTAGATGAGGATTATTTATTTAATCCATTTTAGAATAAGGCTGTAATGTAACAATGTGGAAAAAGTAGAGCTGATGTTGTGATGAGCCTCCATGAAATGCGCAGCCACAGGGTTTCTCTGGTCAAGGGTCCTGATATTACTCCTGTGTTCTGCTATCCTTGTTATCAACGCTCGTTTTGTTTTACATACATAGCATAGACCACAAAAACACTTGATCAGGTATACCACATTTTTTGTGGAACACGTAATGATGCCCTATATAATCCTTTATGACCATATGTACCTCTGTGATTTAATTATGATTGACTACGCGTAAAAGTGAATGAAATTGTTTCCACACCCACCATGCGTCATGTGCGTAATGATCATGTGAGATGAAATGGGTATATTTTGGGATGTGAGCACTCAGTCTGTTTGACCTGACGAACATCCATTTTGGATCGAAACGTAGTCAGTGAATTGGGAGCATAAACAGTGTGCAGGCCTTCCTGTTCTTCACATGTATTCTTTGTTAGCCCAAAACCTACATTTTTAAGGATGTGCGTATGACCACAAACTTTTCTATAGACATACCCATCTGAACCATAGAAATAGAATTGCTAGTTTAGTAGTAGTAATTCAAATTCTATGATATGAACATTTGTGGGAAGCAATGAGCTATCATGGTCTCTGGTCGATTTTCTTACATTGTAGTATCTGTGATTTGAAGTGGTCTAGTGTCTGTTTGATTTTGTTGTTGTTTTGACTCTTAGGGACCTGTCCTGACTGTGGCCTTCTCCAGGGGAGGAGACCTCTTTGCCTCAGGGGGTTGTGATGCTCAGGTGGGTGGACTAATTGTGTGTTCATGATATGAAGGGAAGCAGATGGCTGCCTACCTGTAACCTGGGTCATGTTCAGTAGGGCACACTAGCAAAATATTTGTCTACATAAAGTCAAAATCTGATCAGTGTTCTTATTGAAGAAATGCAGGTAGTAGATCTCTGTATGCTCCCATCTTATTTGCAATGATGAGCTGGTGCCCTGCCGTAATGGCTCACATCTATCAACATTTACATGTGTCATTTAACAGAGCGATTTACAGGAACAATCAGGGTTAAGTGCCTTGCTCAAGGGCACATGGACAGAGTTTTCGGATCCAACGACCTTCCAACGCTCTTAACCGCTAGGCTACCTACCGCCCCCAGGTTCTGATGTGGAAGACCAACTTTGATGCGTTTGACTACCGGGAGGTCCTGAGCAGACACAGCCAGCGGGTCACCCCCAACCCCCCTCCTCACCTGACAGACATCTACCCCCGAGGACCACACCTCCACTCTTCCCAGTCTGGGGCCATAGAGGTCAGAGGGCAACACAGACATAACAACATGAATAAACACAATCATCTTCTCACTGACTTCACATTTTATTCTAGTTATTTAGCAGATGTTCTTATCCAGAGTCACTCAGATACTAGAAGTGCATTTGACTATATCAGGGCGTATAATTAACACCTGCCAAATGCGGGTACATTTTGGTATTGGCGGGTAAGTTGGTCGACTGTACCAGCCACCTATTCTGTGGGGGGGAAAAATGGCTGTTTGATTTTTTTCATCTACCTGCCACAGTGGCTAATGGACCGAAAAGTTAGTTTCAGGCCCTGCTAAATGCACTAATATCGAAAATACATGTGTAAATTCGAGGTAGGGCAGAATAGTTGGACCATGGATTCAAATAAGACTTGTTATAAGCATCCACAACATCATGTTAGCTCCTACAATGTAAAATGCATATTCCTATAAATGCTTCCATAATGCATTGCGTACAGGTGGTGTTTGTATTCCTAATGCTTTACACCATTGTGTGACCATTGCTCTCCTCCTCCCTCCCCATAGATCAGTCCCATGGTGGCAGACACCCAGACCACTGACCCAGCTGTCATAGAGGTGGGCCAGGCCCTTTATACAGCCACCACGGTAAGACCCCTTCTACCTACCAGCACTACCTCCCTCACAGCCAATCAGCACAGTCATATGTCCGTTTCATCTGGCTATAACTGAGCTGAGTTGTCTTCATTAGGCATGAAACAAAATAAAACAGTCCAAAACTGAGTGAAACGGGGGTACAATATGAACTTGTCCAATAAGAAACAGTTTCAATTTTCCCTTGCCAAACATTTTGCTAATGTGTGCCCTAATGAACATGTCCCTGGATTGACCACCAGAGCCTATATACACCAGAGCCTATATATAATGGTGTGCTATCTGAGTTTCACGGGTAGACTTCATGATGGGCAACAGGGCAACAATTCATGTGTAACATGTATAGTCCACCAGGTGGCGATACAGGCCAGTGTTTAATTGTCTCATTGGTGACAACAGCATTATAAAGACCTCTGTGTGTGCTCTCCATTGCAGTGCACCGACCCACAATGCACTCAATGGAGGTCACAATACCAGGGAGGTATTTTACATTGACAAACAGAGCAACACTGTACTGTAAGCAGTTTGGGCTTCTCTGTGGAAGAACAAAGTAATATGTAATTCATTCATGAGTTAATGCACTCGTTCATTCATGAGTTAGTTTATTCATTGATTCATGAGTTCGTTCATGTGTTCGTTCATTCATGTCAGATAGGCCTAAATGGGCACACTGCTGTGGACAGACACAGTTTGACATGGCATTGTTGGTAGCATCCAGCATCTTTGTAGATCATGTAGTACAGTATGTGTGTGTGTTTGAGTATTGAGTTAATGTTATCACAGTACACAATGTGGGAACAACATGCCTGCTGAATATGCAGATCCCATTCATGCATGTAGGCAGCAAAGAGCTTCCTCTCCTCTCCTCTGTACCTCCCCCGTACCTCTCCCGTCTCTGCACTGTGAATAGTGCCTTTGGCTTGTACAGTACTTGTGTCTGGCTGAGTATACTATCCTCCTGTTCCTTTTCTCTCTCCCCCTCTTTCTCTCTGTCTCCTGCCTCTTTCTCTCTGTCTCCCCCCTCTCTCTCTCTCCCCCCCCTCTCTCTCTGTCTCCCCCCTCTTTCTCTCTGTCTCCCCCCTCTCTCTCTCTGTCTCCCTGCCTCTCTCTCTCTGTCTCCTGCCTCTTTCTCTCTGTCTCCCCCCTCTTTCTCTCTGTCTCCCGCCTCTTTCTCTCTGTCTCCCGCCTCTTTCTCTCTGTCTCCCGCCTCTTTCTCTCTGTCTCCCCCCTCTTTCTCTCTGTCTCCCCCTCTTTCTCTCTGTCTCCCCCCTCTTTCTCTCTGTCTCCCCCCTCTTTCTCTCTGTCTCTCCCCCCTCTTTCTCTCTGTCTCCCTCCTCTTTCTCTCTGTCTCCCGCCTCTTTCTTCTCCCCTTTTCTCCGTCTCCCCTCTTTCTCTCTGTCTCCCTCCCGCCTCTTTCTCTCTGTCTCCCCCCTCTTTCTCTTTCTCCCCCCCTCTTTCTCTCTGTCTCCCCCTCCGTCTCCCCCCTCTTTCTCTCTGTCTCCCCCCTCTTTCTCTCTGTCTCCCCCTCTTCTCTCTGTCTCTCCCCGCCTCTTCTCTCTGTCCCCCACCTCTTTCTCTCCTTGTCTCCCTCCCCCCTCTTTCTCTCTGTCTCAAGCCTCTTTCTCTCTGTCTCCCCCCTCTTTCCCTCTGTTCTCCCGCCTCTTGCTCTCTGTCTCCCGCCTCTTTCTCCTGGTTCCCTCCTCTTTCTCTCTGTCTCCGCCTCTTTCTCTGTATCCCCCCTCTTTTCTTCTGTCTCCCCCTCTGTCTCTTGTCTCCCCCCTCTTTCTCTCTGTCTCAAGGCCTCTTTCTCTTCTGTCTCCCCCCTCTTTCTCTCTGTCTCCCGCCTCTTTCTCTCTGTCTCCCGCCTCTTTCTCTCTGTCTCCCCCGTCTTTCTCTTTGTCTCCCGCCTCTTTCTCTCTGTCTCCCCCCTCTTTCTCTTTGTCTCCCCCCTCTTTCTCTTTGTCTCTCTCTCTCTCATTTCTCTCTCTATGTGAGGTTGTCTTGGCTAGGCTCCCTGTGTGAGTCGCCAGAGCGTGGCTGAGTGGATGCCCGTGCCAGCCAGAGGAGAGAGGGAGAGAGGCATCTCCCAGACTAACATATACACACACACACTCTGTTAGCTAACGGAGGCCTGTACTGAATGAGTTCACCCCCTGGTCCTTCCCTGTCACCTCACATCACCGGGGAGGACTACAAGATAACCTTCCTGCCCTGGATTAGTGTTTCCTAATGGTGCTTCCTAACCAAGCGAAGGGAGGGAGAGTGTGAGGGTGGGAGGGAGAGTGTGGGGGGACAGAATTTTCCCTGGAGGGGGTCTTTTCCCACTGACAGTAATTATTTCAGGGTGATACCCTCTCTGTGTGTGTGTATGCTTTCATATGTTATAGGCTGTTTGTGCGTATGTGTTTGTGTTTTGGAGACTGTGTGTGTGCATACGTAGACTTTTATAAGTGTGTGACTGGGTATAGTATGCCGATGAGGCTACATGCCAATATCATGTATGCTTGCGTTCGTAAATCTATGGGGTAAATTGTGTGACGCACTTTGACATGACTCAATACATGTAGATCCTCACTGCTTTCTACTTACTTACCTGTTCTCTCTTCCCTTTTATGATCTCTCTCTTTCTCTCCTCTCTCTCTCTTTCTCTCTCTTTCATTGTCTCTCTCTATCATTCTCACTCTCCATTCTCTCTCTCTTCTTCTCTCCTTTCTCTCTCTCCTTTTTCTCTCTCTCCCTCCTTTCTCTCATTCTCTCTCTCTCTCTCTCTTCTCTCTCTTTCTTACGCATTCTCTCTCTCCGTTCTCTCTTTTATCTCATTCTCTCTTTCTCTCTTTCTTTCTCTCTCTTTCTCTCATTCCTCTTTCTCTCTCATTCTCTCTCTCCCTCCTCTCTCCTTTCTCTCTCATTCTCACGCCTTTCTCTCTTTCTCTCTCATTCTCTCTCTCCGTTCTCTCTCTTTTATCTAATTCTATCTCTCATTCTCTCATGCTCTCTCGCTTATTCTCTTTCTCTCTCATTCTCTCTCTCCTCTCTCTTTATTTCTCTCATTATCTCTCCTCTCTTCTCACATCTCCCTCCATTCCTCATCTCTTTCTCTCATGTCTCGTATCTTTCTTTCTCCCTTCTACTCCATTCTCTCTCTTTCTCTCATTCTCTCTCTTTCTTTCTCTCATTCTATCTCATTCTCTTTCTTTCTCTCGTTCTCGCTCTCATTCTCTCTTTCTCTTCTCTCTTTCTCTTCCCTCTCTCATTTCCCTCTCTCATACCCTCTCTCATTCTCTCTCTCATTCTTTTTATTTTTCTGGTTCTTTCTCTCATTATCTCGCTCTCTCCTTCTCTCCTTTCTATTTCTCTCTCCTTTCTTTCTCTCTTCTCTCATTCTCTCTCCTTTCTCTCATTCTCTCTCCCTCCCTCTTCCTCCTTTTATTCTCTCTCCTTTCTCTCTCATTCTCACTCTCCTTTCTCTCTTTCTCTCTCATTCTCTCTCTCCGTTCTCTCTCTTTTATCTAATTCTTTCTCTCATTCTCTCTTTCTCTCTCTCATTCTCTCGCTCATTCTCTTTCTCATTCTCTCGCTTATTCTCTTTCTCTCTCATTTCTCGCTCATTCTCTCTCTCTCGCTCTTTCTCACTCCATTCTCTCTCTCTTTTCTCTCATTCTTGCTTTCTCCCATTCTCTTTCGGCTCGCTCTTTCCCGCTTCTCGCTCGTTCTCGTTCTCTTCTCTTACTCATTCACTCAATGCTCTTCCGTCTCTCCTCTCTCTCCTTATCTCTCATTCTCTTCCGCTTTTCTCTCTCTCTTCTCGATCTCTTTCTCTCATTCCTCTCTCATTTGTCCTCTTTCCTCTCATCCTCTATGTTTCCTCTATTTCCTATATCTCTCCTTTCTCTTTCTCTCTCATTTTCTCATCTCTCTCTTTCTCTCATTCTCTCTCCTTTTCTCTCATTCTCTTTCTCTCTCATTATCTCGCTCTCTATTTCTATATCTCTCTCTTTCTCTCATTCTCTCTCCTCTCTCTCTCTCATTCTCTCTCTCCTTCTCTCTCTCCTCTCTGTCTCTCTGTCTGTCTCTCACTCTCTCTTGCCTTATTATCTTTCTCTCGTACTTTCTCTAATTCTCTCTCTCATTCCCTCTCTCATTCTCTCTCAAATTGAAATGGCTTTATTGGCATGGAAAGTGTTACCACATACAGTGCATTCGGAAAGTATTCAGGCCCCTTGACTTTTTCCTCATTTTGTTACGTTACAGCCTTATTCTAAATTGGATTAAATTAAATGTTTTCCTCATCAATCTACACACAATACCCCATAACGACTAAGCGAATACAGGTTTTTAGAAATTTTAGCAAATGTATTAAAAATAAAAACAAATACCTTTATTTACAGAAGTATTCAGACCCTTTGCTATGAGACTCGAATTTGAGCTCAGGTGCATCCTGTTTCCATTGATCATCCTTGAGATGTTTCTACAACTTGATTGGAGTCCAACTGTGGTAAATTCAATTGATTGGACATGATTTGGAAAGGAATACACCTGTCTATATAAGGTCCCACAGTTGACAGTGCATGTCAGAGCAAAAACCAAGCCATGAGGTCGAAGGAATTGTCCGTAGAGCTCAGAGACAGGATTGTGTCGCGGCACAGATCTGGGGAAGGGTTCCTCTGTGGAGATGGTTGTCCTTCTGGAAGGTTCTCCCATATTTGCAGCACTCCACCAATCAGGCATTTATGGTAGAGTGGCCAGACTGAAGCCACTCTTGAGTAAAAGCCCGCTTGGAGTTTGCCAAAAGGCACCTAAAGGACTCTCGGACCATGATAATCAAGATTCTCTGGTCTGATGAAACCAAGACTGAACTCTTTGGCCTGAATGCCAAGTGTCAAGTCTGGAGGAAACCTGGCACCATCCCTAGGGTGAAGCATGGTGGTGGCAACATCATGCTTTGGGGATGTTTTTCAGCGGCAGGGACTAGTCAGGATTGAGGGAAAGATGAACGGCGCAAAGTACAGAGAGATCCTTGATGAAAATCTTCTCCAGAGCGCTCAGGACCTCAGACTGTGGCGAAGGTTCACCTTCTCACAGGACAATGACCCTAAGCACACAGCCAAGACAACGCAGGGGTGGCTTCAGGACAAGTCTCTGAATGTCCTTGAGTGGCCCAGCCAGAGCCTGGACTTGAACCTGATCGAACATCTCTGGAGAGACCTGAAAATAGCTGTGCAGCAACGCTCCCCATTCAACCTGACAAAGCTTGAGAGGATCTGCAGACAAGAATAGGAGAAACTCCCCAAATACAGGTGTGCCAAGCTTGTAGCGTCATACCCAAAAAGACTTGAGGCTGTAATTACCGCCTAAGGTGCTTCAACAAAGTACTGAGTAAAGGGTCTGAATATTTATGTAAATATAATATTTCAGTTTTCAATACATTTGCAAAAAAATCTAAACCTGTTTTTGCTTTGTCATTATGGAGTATTGCGTGTAGATTGATGAAAAACTATTTAATACATTTTAGAAAACGGCTGTAACGTAACAAAGTGGAAAAAGTAAAGGGATCTGAATACTTTCCGAAGGCACTGTATATTAGAGACTTCCTCCTAACCACCTGGGAGTTAACACTGTTTTTTAATTTTTTTATTTCACCTTTATTTAACCAGGTAAGCCAGTTGAGAACAAGTTCTCATTTACAACTGCGACCTGGCCAAGATAAAGCAAAGCAGTGCGATTAAAAACAACACAGAGTTACATATGGGGTAAAAAACATAGTCAAAAATACAACAGAAAATATATATACAGTGTGTGCAAATGTAGCAAGTTATGGAGGTAAGGCAATAAATAGGCTATAGTGCAAAATAATTACAATAGTATTAACACTGGAATGCTAGATGTGCTTAAAAGAAATACTCAGTGTATTTTCTTTGTACTTTGATGGCTTCTGCTCTGCCATTATGAGCATGATTCCCATGATTTGTCTCAATGAATGCTCTATCTTTTCAGGTCCTGTAAAGATATTGATAGAATTAACGATCTCTCCTCTGATTAACACAAAGGCCTGCATATCGACAACAACAACGATGTCCTTTTTGCTATTATGTGATGTACTAATTGTGGAGGTGGTGTTCCTGTAACTGAGATATTTACGCAACATTTCCCAACTAGTCAATCGTCTGGCAACAGAGGAGACAAAACGGAAAACGTTCCAAGACACCGTATACATCCCGTAATCCTCTCTTTATCGGCCCTCTCCCTCCCAGCAGCCCTCACTGCAGTCGCTGTGGGAAGGCATCATGTGAGTGGCCAAACATGATCTCACTCGTCAAATATACAGGAGGGGCAAGCCGGATCACTAATTCAGTAGGGTTCTCTGTCTCTCCTCTCCTCCCCTCCCTCACTCAGTCTCTTCCTCTCTTTCATCTCCCTGTTATGCAATGAGCATAAGACTCAGAGGAAGCAGGCAGGCTGTAGCTTGAGGGCTGTGCTGCTGCCTTGGACTACCCAAGGCCGGCCCGCTCATTAGGCAGGATTAGGCGGCCGCCTCTGGCGGCAGATTGACGAGGGCGGCATATTCTGAGCTAAACTGACCAAGACGCACCTCCAACAACAACACACAAAACCTCACACAATTTCTCTCAACCAGAGGCATATGTGCTTTTTAGGTGAGCTTTGATGCCGCCCTATGATAAGCTGTGCCCACTTTATCAAAGGCAGGGATGCAAAATATTTATCTTGTCCATTCCAAGCGCGCCTCTCCAGGGTGCTATTGGAGAGACGCATCGCTGCGGCACTCCACCAACATTTAGTTCAGGCTGGAGATACAATGTAATGAGACAAACTTTTTACATCATGCAGGTTTCTCCGATCAAATAGTCTAACCTAAATGGCACCCAATCAAATAAAAAATGTGCCGACGTGTTAACAAACAACACACACTACAGATACAAAAGCATGTGGACACCCATTCAAATTAGTGGATTCAGCAATTTTAGCCACACCCAGTGTATAAAATCGAGCACACAGCCATGCAATATTCATAGACAAACATTGGTAGTAGAATGGCCTTACTGAAGAGCTCAGTGACGTTCAACGTGTCACTGTCATAGGTTGCCACCTTTCGAACAAGTTAGTTTGTCAACTTGGGTAGTCCAAGGCAGCAGCACAGCCCTCAAGCTACAGCCTGCCTGCTTCCTCTGAGTCTTATGCTCATTGCATAACGGGGAGATGAAAGAGAGGAAGAGACTGAGAGAACCCTGCTAGAGCTGCCCCAGTCAACTGTAAGTGCTGTTATTGTGAAGTGGAAACGTCTAGGAGCAACAACGGCTCAGCCGCGAAGTGGTAGGCCACACAAGCTCACAGAATGAGACCGCCGAGTGCTAAAGCGAGTAGCGTGTAAAAATTGTCTGTCCTCGGTTGCAACACTCACTACCGAGTTCCAAACTGCCTCTGGAAGCAACGTCAGCACAATAACTATTTGTCGGGAGCTTCATGAAATGGGTTTCCATGGCCGAGCGTCAGCTGGAGTGGTGTAAAGCTCGCCGCCATTGGACTCTGGAGCAAAATAAACGTGTTCTCTGGAGTGATGAATCACGCTTCACCATCTGGCAGTCCAACGGACTAATCTGGGTTTGGCGGATGCCAGGACAACGTTACCTGCCCGAATGCATAGTGCCAACTGTAAAGTTTGGTGGAGGAAGAATAATGGTCTGGGGTTGTTTTTCATGGTACGGGCTAGGCCCCTTAGTTCCAGTGAAGGGAGATCTTAACGCTACAGCATACAATGACATTCTAGACAATTCTGTGATTCCAACTTTGTGGCAACAGTTTGGGGAGGGCCCTTTCCTGTTTCAGCATGACAATGCCCCTGTGCACAAAGTGAGGTCCATACAGAAATGGTTTGTCGAAATCGGTGTGGAAGAACTTGACTGGCCTGCACAGAGCCCTGACCTCCACCCCATCGAACACCTTTGGGATGAATTGGAACGCCGACTGACCTCACTAATGCTCTTGTGGCTGAATGGAAGCAAGTCCCTGCAGCAATGTTCCAACATCTAGTGGAAAGACTTCCCAGAAGAGTGGAGGCTGTTATAGCAGCAAAGGGGGGACCAACTCCATATCAATGTAGATGATTTTGGAATGAGATGTTCGATGAGCAGGTGTCCACATACTTTTGGTCATGTAGTGTATCCTAAAAACAGGACAGGTCAAAGTAAAATGGACAATATGGAATGGACAATCGGGCTACTCACAACTGCTGTCCAGGAATTTCATCCCGTGTGCTAAATTGTCATGATCAGTGGTTTCAAGTTTGTATCCGTAAATATATTTTGAGCTGATCTGAAAATACTTATTCTGCATTTCCCGCTGTGTAAACACATTGCAAATATGCTTGGGATAACTCCTCCTGATAAAGTTGGGTAGCTGATATTCAGAGCTTAAATTGATTAGTCACAGGAATCAGGACTAATAAAACCAATGCAACGGCCTGTTTTACAAATGGTGGGCCTACCACATGGATGGGCGTTCCTGAGATAAAATGTCAGGCAACACTGTAGGACAGGGATGGGCAAGTCCAGTTCTCTGGGGCCTGATTGGTGTCACACTTTTGCCCCAGCTAACACAGCTGACTCCAATAATCAACTAATCATGATCTTCAGTTTAAAATGCAATTAGTTTAATCAGCTGTGTTGACTAGGGATGGGGAAAAAAGTGTGACACCACTCCGGCCCCCAAGGACTGGAATTACCCATTCCTGCTGTAGGCTATAACTCCGTAATCACAGACCGACGCTGATGCCTTTTGGTCCTGTCCGGACCGGCCTTGATTTCTACGTCCACGGACGTTGGTTTTTGGTCCCGTCCGGACCAAATCTGAACCAATCATAGACGTCTATGTTTGGTTCAGATTTTGTCCGGTCTGGACCAGCCTTGATTTGGCCCAAACATAGATGTCTATAAATGTAGATATTTTCAACTTTCATCCAGAACCCAAAATGAACCTGATTTCAAAGACGTCTTTTCACCTTTCATTCAGAACCTAAATTTAATCTAACTTCAACGTCTGGAAAAATACATATTTTAGACCTCTTTTCAACATCATTTTGCTTACTGGGACAATTATTGTAGGGGCGGCAATTTTTTTGTCTGGCCTAGGGCGGCAGAATGGCCAGGACCGGCCCTGGGACTACCTAACCTTTCTTTGAACAAGGCTTTTCTTCCCCCACCCTAGCCAAGTGCTTATAGCCAAACTTGCTTTTCCTTTAAGGTTAAAGTAAAGCCTAGGATGCTGTGTTCTCTCTCTCCTCTCTTTCTCGTTTGTATGTGTGTACTGGCTTTGGCTATGTCTCGCTAATCTGGATTTGTTTCTCACCTTCCTTTGCCTCATGTCCTCTGATCATTGAAGGGTCTCTACAGATGATGTGCTTCAACTGTACTTATTTTTTATATCTGTCACAGAACTGTCACACTGCTTCAGAGAAATGCTATCAAATTTGCATAGCATCAGCGCTCACCTCAGCTACACAAGACTCTTTCCGATACGTCCCTCTCTCTGTCTTCCTCCCTCCCTCTCTCTGTCTTCCTCCCTCCCTCCCTCGCTCTGTCCTCCTCCCTCCCTCTCTCTCAAGGGTACACGCTGTGTCCGGAGGGGCCTATGCTGAAATGCGCTGACAGTAAGTTGACACAGGAGGGCTAAATATAGCCCCACAGGTCTATTAAAGGTACTCTGTCGGCCGGGGATACCTCAACGGCCAATGAAGCACTCTTTGTTTTTCCACTCCCTTGCTCTTTCTTGACTGATTTCTATCTCTCGCTACTCGGGTTAGACGATGAGAATAGAACTGGCGTCAGTCATGACAGGAGTTGTAATAATTGTATTTTGATGATGGTACAGATGATATTGATTGTAATGTTTTCCTTATAATGGAATCTGCTGACTGAAGTAGTGGAGCTATTCCTCATGGTTATTGGTTACTCTCTGAAGCAGTGGCTGAAACCTCTCTTCTCCTTTTCATTCCTTTTCCATCTCTTTTTCTAATGATGTGGATAGGAGGATACGAAGGCCAGTGAGACTTTCAAGTCAGCAATATATAGCTAGCAGCAGTAGTAGGTCATGACCTTCTGTGAATAAAGTGTATCGTAAAACATCTACTGACACAGTTTGTGTACAGTGTGTGCATCTGTGTATTTCTGACACCTCGTCAGTATTTGTGAATCCTGTTTATGTACAGTAGCTGTGTGAGGGGTGTCATGCATCCAGCCACCTCTTTATAGCTGTGACCCCTCTGTTCAAAACGGAAGCACACGAACACCTCCGGTTAGGTGACCCATTGATTCCCACACTGCATTTCACCAGCGGTGGGGTTTTACATTGCACACTACTTTGTCTTTGCCCTGATACATGGCTGTTGACCCTGAACCAGGTGCCCTGATACATGGCTGTTGACCCTGAACCAGGTGCCCTGATACATGGCTGTTGACCCTGAACCAGGTGCCCTGATACATGGCTGTTGACCCTGAACCAGTTGCCCTGATACATGGCTGTTGATCCTAAACCAGGTGCCCTGATACATGGCTGTTGACCCTAAACCAGTTGCCCTGATACATGGCTGTTGACCCTGAACCAGGTGCCCTGATACATGGCTGTTGACCCTGAACCAGGTGCCCTGATACATGGCTGTTGACCCTGAACCAGGTGCCCTGATACATGGCTGTTGACCCTGAACCAGGTGCCCTGATACATGGCTGTTGACCCTGAACCAGTTGCCCTGATACATGGCTGTTGACCCTGAACCAGTTGCCCTGATACATGGCTGTTGACCCTGAACCAGTTGCCCTGATACATGGCTGTTGACCCTGAACCAGTTGCCCTGATACATGGCTGTTGATCCTAAACCAGGTGCCCTGATACATGGCTGTTGACCCTAAACCAGTTGCCCTGATACATGGCTGTTGACCCTAAACCAGTTGCCCTGATACATGGCTGTTGATCCTAAACCAGGTGCCCTGATACATGGCTGTTGACCCTAAACCAGTTGCCCTGATACATGGCTGTTGACCCTGAACCAGGTTGCCCTGATACATGGCTGTTGACCCTGAACCAGTTGCCCTGATACATGGCTGTTGACCCTGAACCAGGTTGCCCTGATACATGGCTGTTGACCCTGAACCAGTTGCCCTGATACATGGCTGTTGACCCTGAACCAGTTGCCCTGATACATGGCTGTTGACCCTGAACCAGTTGCCCTGATACATGGCTGTTGACCCTGAACCAGTTGCCCTGATACATGGCTGTTGACCTTAAACCAGTTGCCCTGATACATGGCTGTTGACCCTAAACCAGTTGCCCTGATACATGGCTGTTGACCCTAAACCAGTTGGACACCAATCACCAGCTAGGACTGTCAAGATATAATATTATCACAATACTTAGGTGCCGATACGATATATATTGCGATGCTCAAGTTTCTATATGTATTGCAAATGGATACTGTGATTTTATTGCGATTCGAGGTTCCAAACATGTTGCGCACCATATACAGTGGGGAGAACAAGTATTTGATACACTGCCGATTTTGCAGGTTTTCCTACTTACAAAGCATGTAGAGGTCTGTAATTTTTATCATAGGTACACTTCAACTGTGAGAGACGGAATCTAATGGTTTTCTTTGAGACTGTGGTCCCAGCTCTCTTCAGGTCATTGACCAGGTCCTGCCGTGTAGTTCTGGGCTGATCCCTCACCTTCCTCATGATCATTGATGCCCCACGAGGTGAGATCTTGCATGGAGCCCCAGACCGAGGGTGATTGACCGTCATCTTAAATTCTTCCATTTTCTAATAATTGCGCCAACAGTTGTTGCCTTCTCACCAAGCTGCTTGCCTATTGTCCTGTAGCCCATCCCAGCCTTGTGCAGGTCTACAATTTTATCCCTGATGTCCTTACACAGCTCTCTGGTCTTGGCCATTGTGGAGAGGTTGGAGTCTGTTTGATTGAGTGTGTGGACAGGTGTCTTTTATACAGGTAACGAGTTCAAACAGGTGCAGTTAATACAGGTAATGAGTGGAGAACAGGAGGGCTTCTTAAAGAAAAACTAACAGGTCTGTGAGAGACGGAATTCTTACTGGTTGGTAGGTGATCAAATACTTATGTCATGCAATAAAATGCAAATGAATTACTTAAGAATCATACAATGTGATTTTCTGGATTTTAGATTCCGTCTCTCACAGTTGAAGTGTACCTATGATAAAAATTACAGACCTCTACATGCTTTGTAAGTAGGAAAACCTGCAAAATCGGCAGTGTATCAAATACTTGTTCTCCCCACTGTATATATATATATATATATATATATATATATCATCATTATCACCAGCCATGTATCAGTGCAATATGTATCTATTCCATTTCACATCCATTCAGTTCACGTATCTGTGAAAGCCAGCTTGGCTACCTCTGCTGTGCTACTTGTGGCTAGCCAGTGTGGAGGCAGGGAGAGGATGTGGCCTGGTGAACTGCGTGGGTAGAATGTAGCACTCTGCCATCGGCTCAAAGTGGGCTGATTCCTGCGTGGGGGCGGGGGAAACAGACAAATTCATCTGTAGAGAAGTGTTTCTACATGCAGAGTTGAGGCCATGGTCGATGGGAATTGGGTTGCAGGGGTGGTTTAGGTGCTCTTGGAAATGGGGACATTTTTTTGATGCTATTTTGAGTGGGTTTGTGGGTTGAAATTGTGTGCGTGTGTGCGCCTGAGGTGATTATCCAATTTCGAAATCCATTTCATGTATAAACAGGAAGGGAGCGGAATGTCAAATCCTTAAATCTATATCCAAATCTACTTTCCTCAATAGTTTGTGTGTGAGCCTGTGTATAATGTTGACCTATCTGTGTGTGTGTGTGTGTGTTTGAGAGAGGAGAGGATTACTGGGAAAGGGATAGGAAAACAAATCCGCTTTCCTGTGAGGGAAGAGGGCCAGGAGGTCACAAGCTTCGTCCGCTCCATCCGGAGGTATGGCCGACACCCGACACTGACGGGGGTCCCAGGTTAACCCCCATCAGAGGGGCAGCCAACCCATGGTCCACCTGTTAGGAAGTCATTAATCTCTCTGGTCCACATTCACCTACCCACTTACTCAGCCAAGAGCCAGCCACCCTGCCCTCCTCTCCCTGGCCCCCTCAACAGTGTTTGGCGGGTTCATTGTTTGATGTGCTGTCTCCATTTTCTCTTGTTCCTTTTTTGCTTTTCTCAGTCTTATTTGCCTCACTTTCTCTCGCTTCTTTACTCACTGTCTCTTGCCCTTCTCTCCCTGCTTTGTGCTGTGGTGTCCCTGTCTTCCCACTCCCTAAGGTCTGAAAATATCTACTGTTTCTGTGGTGGCTGCTGCCTTGCCTCTCCTCTGTCAGGTTGGTGTATGATGCTCAGACTAGTACCTGTCCAGTCTAAGCAGTGAGTGACAGAGGATCTTCTAAGCCAGTGGTATTAAAAGTCGGGGTCACGACCCCAGGTGGAAGCAAAAATTAAGAGTACAGATTATTTTATGGGACAATAAACAAAAGTTATTAAGAGATTATTAGAAAAATACACTTTTATTTAGTAAATGTAATGAGTTGAATGTTATTTGTTGACGTGAATATATAAATGTACTCATTTTTAAGGTTATGTCATTAGAATTGGGATGGGGTCCCCAGAAATTCTGGTGAACAAAATGGGGTCCATGCTGAAAAAGTTTGAATACCACTGCGCTAAACGTAACTCTATGCCCTATACGGTACTCCCCATTCACTGTCTATATGAACCTGACCTCAAACCCTACAGGCTGGATGGATGCTATTATCACCCTCTTTAGGATATTAACTTTAACCCTAACCCCATTCTGTTGAACTATCACCTCATTCATAGAATACCATTCCTAACCTCACATGCTCAACTTCATCCCATTATTCTTAGGGTATAACCTTTTAATCTCTAACCCCACTGGCTGAACTCTGAATTCTCATAGGATATGACCCCTAACCCCTCAGAATAAACTTGTATTAATTACCTTGTTCCTTTCTGTCCAAAGGCTTTCAACCTCAATGTCTGTCTGATGAAGGTCTGCTTAGACCGAAACGTCAAACTATGTTTTAATACAATAAAATGGAGAGAGCACTTCCCCTTCAAATACATTATAAAATCAAAAATGTTTTTCCAATGGTGTTCTTCTTCCTCTCTGTGACCAGAGTGGTCTGAGGTGAGGTGAGCTCTTGAGACGAGTGGTCTGAGGCTGCATGGGGAAACTACCGGAGAGGAAGCTAGGGGCTAGCCAGTGTATGAGAGTGGAGTGAAAGAGCACTTCACAAGCTCCAAATTCCTCATTCCTCCCAGGCCTCACTTGTTTGATCCTGATCTCCTGGTGGCTAACGCTAACATGCTACCCCCTGTGACGTCCCTCTCAGAGACCCTCCAAACCCCTCACCACTCACAGATACAGGTCAGAATCAGATCATCCATAATCCCACCAGTTCTAGTAAGATAATATGGAGGATTTACGTTTTGGTGTGAAATCCTGAGGAAAAGTGCTTTTGTTGTTGGGTGGTAGTTCTTCAATCTGGACTAATTACCAGTTTCTTTGATCTTTATTTTCAAAAGGGCCATGTTTGAGACTTTTTGGCCAGAAAATGTGATGTTTTT